TTATAAAAAGCTTGTGAATAATACATTGGATAGCCATTCTTTGTACGGCCAGTTACAGATGTACACACAAGCAATAAACATGTTTCTTATAATAAAACAATCATGATAGCAAGTGACAGGTTAGTTTGGAAAAACGAAACCTTACTTGCACGCAATAAACTCTATCCCACACATAACATCAATACACATTTAAAAATATATATAAAATAGTTTATTGTGTACCTGTCATCCTGAATTTCCTCATGTTAACTTGTTTCGCCGATTTAATAGTGAACCGGTTCTCCGGCGGTCCAGGCAACTGTTCGAGCTCACACAAACCATCATCATTAGCCCAGTCTTCATCAAACTGGCGCCGTTGATCCTCAGTCCAATTATCCATGAAGCCATCAACAACACTAATTGGATTCTCACGTGCATTCGTCCAGAATATAATGCGTTGCTGAAGAACAGCTTCCTTCTGCTCTTCAGTCAGAACAAACGACTCCTAAAGAAAGTCGAGCTCACTTTCGGTCTCACAAGCCTTGATCAGATCCAGCATATTAATCTAGAAATGTCAAACATATTAATCTAAAAATATTGTAGACATGTATTCAAAACATATACATTGTAAACTTACCGACAGAGCCATATTAAAAACAATCCAACACAATCCACCAGACAACACTTGAAACCAGAGAAAACCAGGGAAACGCTTGTCAAAATGCAACAGTGAGAAATAGAATGTGTGTTCGAAAGACGGTATTTATAATCTCTGATAGCTTCAATTTGTTTGGTACCATTACCGTGCTGTACCGCTAATTGGTCGTGTTACTGCGATGTGCCGCTAATTGATTGTATTACTGTATTGTGATGCTAATTGGTTGTGTTACCTGTCACATTTGGCCCAGGCTTGCCTGAGTGACATCATACTAATTACTTCTGATGCCAAATTAGACTTGCATACTAATTACTTCTGCCCCCATATTTTGCATACTAATTACTTCCGTTGCTATATGGGGGGTGTCACTACTCCTGATATTGCAGAATATACACTTTATATCTATTGTGTAAATAGTGTATATATATATACAGAATAGCCTGTATATTGCATATATGTATACACTATAGACATGTAGGATATATTGTATATATTCTGCAGCCTATATAAATAGTGACAATGTATAGTCAAAAGTGTATATAGTGAGTGTTTGAGTGAATGTCCAAGAGTATATAGTGTATATTGTGTATAAAGCGTCTATATATACACAATATATGTATATTATCGGTATATAGTCAAAAGTGTATAAGTGTATATATAGTGAGTGTATGTCAAAGAGTATATAGTCAAAGAGTATATAGTGTATATTGTGCATATAGTGTCTACATATACACAATATACATATATTATCAGTGTATAGTCAAAAGTGTATATAAAGTGTATATAGTGAGTGTTTGAGTGAATGTCAAAGAGTATATTGTGTATATAGTATAGTCGCACTCTTGAGCCACTACGTTTCCTTAAAACTCACAGTTCACTTTAGATAAAGTTCTTTATTTAATATAAAGAATAAACTCACATCACGGTATTTAAATGCTCACTAGAACTCGTGCTCACTAGACACTATATAAAAGTAACATGAAGTTTTCTACACACTCCCCCATATGAAACAAATGATTCATATGTATGCTAACTTAACTGAATGTTTCTGTAAAATTGTTAATAAATGTGTTTAAGACCATCTTTCAGTTCATTTTCTAAAGTTTCTTGGATCTGTGTTGCTGCATCGATAGCCTGCCTTTCGCTTCGGAACGAACGATCTTGCATTGACATCCAAAGGAGTTTGGTTTGTCTCCTCCCCGTCCTCTGTATTGGCGGAGTCACAACTGAGTTCGAGCGGATATAAATGTTGTGGAGCTCGGTCTAATCGATCTCAACCACTTCTGAGCTGTATCGCGCGAATTACACTGTCTTTACCTTCGATCAATCTTTCCACGATTCCCAAGGGCCACTTGTTTCTGTTTCGATCCTCCGACTTAATAAGCACAACGTCTCCGACTACGATGTTGTTATCTTTCGACTTACGTTTTAACTTATGACGTTCTCTCAAAGCATGCATGTATTCATTTGTCCACCTTCTCCACATTTCTTCTTTCGTACGTTTCAAGAACTTCAATCGCTTTCGCAAACTTAAATCATCTTCATGATAAGCCTTTAATTCCGGTAGGTAATTTGGAGTGATGAACAACATCGAGTTCGGCATAAGAGTAGGCAGTTGAACATCCTCTTCCATGTAATTAAGAGGTCTATTGTTCATTGCAATTTCAACATCGAGTAAGACTTCAGTTAGCTCATCCCAGGTTAGTAACCTGCTCCCGACCGTCTTGTAGAAAATTCCTTTCATCAACCCAATCAGCCTCTCGAACTGCCCCCTCCCCCCACCAGGGGGCTCTGCTTGGATTGAATCGCCAGGAGATGGTGTTATTGCGAAGGAAATTGTTGAGCTCTTCATCTTTTCAAATACATTTCAACCACTTAGAAGCTGCTATAAATGTCGAACCATTGTCCGAATAAATTGTAGTAGGTCTTCCGCATCTGGCAATAAACTGTTTCAAACTCTTTATGAATACTTTGGTCTCGAGGCTTGGTAATAAATCCAGGAACACAGCACGTGTTTGACCACATGAAAATAGAGCAACATATGACTTTGCTTCTCTTCCCCTGAGACGATATTTCACCAGGCCAGCGAAATCTACACCAATCACCACAAAGGGCGTAGACTGCTTGGTTCTACACTTCGGTAATAGACCAATGGGTGGTGCGTTGGCGGGTCAGGCTCGAAATTTCTTGCATCCATAACAACTCAAAATCACTTTCTTGGCTAGCTTCCTCAATCTGGGAACCCAGTACTTCTCACAAACTTTTGCCATCATCATTGCTCGAAGTTATTAGCTCATTGTTTGAGCTACTCTGTAAATTCGAGTTGGAATAAAGTGTATGTATGTATGTGTGTATGCATGTATGTATTCCAACGCCACCATGCAGAGTAGATAAATGAGCTCTTTGCACAACCTTGGTAGTAAATAATGCACTGTCTGATAAGAATATTGGGTATTCACCTTGGATACGGCTGTGACATTGCAAAATGCCATTTTCGTTCGTCTCTTGTTGTAACTGCTCTTTATCTTCTGCGAACTTCAGATCATTTACTGCCCCATTCTTGAGTCTGGTTCACCCACACCATTTCGAATTTCACGACTTTGTGGTTATTGCACCGGTGGCTTTCGTGGATGGATTTCAACAGTTCATAAAACGTATCACCCATCCAAAAATTCTCAAAGCTTTGCACAGTTCGAACTTACTAAGAACAGTCTCTAGAAGTCGTTTGTCTCGACACTAACCGCAGAAAGTTCCCATAGGACCTTTTTCTCTGCTTCACTCGTATCATTGGCTTTCGTCACAATATTTGGGGGCCATTTACTTTCGTCCGATAGCCAATCAGGACCATCAGACCACACTCTAGCTCCGTCCACGCTACCCCCTCTACTCCCCAAATCAGCAGGGTTTTCAGCTGTGGGCACATGACGCCACAACACATTTTCATGGCTTCGCATTTTTCTCACTCTATTAGCGACGAACTGACGATACTGTCCATCATCATTTAACCAATGGAGTGCTACACTACTATCTAGCCAACATTGGATGTTTTCTGCGACTTTGAACCCTTTGAGAGCATTAACATCTTACGTTAACTGCTAAATTTACCGCCATATGTCCCGCAACAAACTCGAGCCTGGGGAATAGTCAATTTAGTTTTTGCGAGTCGTGATTTGCACCGTCCCTGATTGCACGGTCCCCGATTCTTGCTGGACAACGGCATACACAGCTGCACATACACCTTTTTTGCTTGCATCTCCGAATGAGTGTAATTTAACTTGTTGGATTGGCTCTCAATAAACTGGGATGCATTGTGGAAATGTCAGACAACTTGGTAATGCATTTTCCCATTTCAACCACCGTTTGCTGAGCTCCTCAGGAATAGATCCATCTCATCGAATCTTTTCTTCGCATATTTCACGATATATAATCTTGCCTTCGAGCATCATAGGTGAGATTAGACCTAGAGCGTCGTAAACTTTTGCTAAGTACGCCAAAACACCTCGCTTTGTTAACACCGCAGGTACGGTAGGGAAATCGACTTGTAGGGTATCTTCGATCTTGTTCCACTTCAGGCCCAATAGCTTGCATTCGATTTCTTTTGGATTGGCACCTAACTGTTGCTTAGCAAATGTAATTGAACTGTCACTCATGTCCGATTCAAGTTCTGGGCCGTTCGAATGCCACTTGTGTAATCATAATCTAGCATCATCAAAGATGTCAATCGCATCTTGTTTAAGCTTGGTTGCTTCATCAGTAGTAGATGCTCCGGAGATCATCATATCATCCACATACAAACTCTTACGTATTTCAGCTACAGCTTCGGGGAAACGAGGCTCAATCAACTCTAAATGTCTCGCGATGACTCCATTCAATAAAAACGGCGATGAAGTTAAACCAAAGACAACTCGAGTAAAATGGAGGACTTGAACCTCGGTGGAATGTAAATCTTTGATCCAATGGAACCGTAACACGTCATGCTCAGCTTCTCGGACTCTAACTTGTAGAAAGGCCTTTTGCACATCTCCTGCAACAGCAACAGGGTGGAATCGGTTTCTAACTATCACTGACCACAGTTGATTGTGTAATGGGGGGCCGGTAAGTAGACAATTGTTTAATGACTGCGTATCTTCACGTTGATGGGCGGATGCGTCATAAACAATTCGGGTTTTCGTGGTTTCCGCGTTTTCTCTGACTACGGCGCGATGAGGGAGATAGAATTCTTTACCCGTAACTTTGCTTGGAGCTTTCGCTACGATTCCCTGTTCGATTTGCTCTCTGATCACAGCATCATACTATTTTCGTAAGGGAGAATTGAGACAACATAAACTACCATCATGATTTGATAACAGGGGTTGATGACCAGGTTTCCATGGAAGTGACGTCTTGTACCAACTGTCCTTGGATCTTGTCAGCTGCTCTTAGCTAGATAGCCAAACATTTCCTTTCCATCTTCACCAGGTGACATGAGAGACCATCCCAAACAAGTATGTTCGGCCACAGGTTCTCCTGTCCAACCAACACGTGAATTTTCATTAGTACTAATCTTAGCGTAATCATTTGCCCCAAGGAGGATATGAACAGGCAACATGTCCTTCTCATCATAATCGTCCATGTAGACACCTTTCAGATGAGGGTATCTTTTGAGGATTTCTTTGTAATGGGGGTTTTCTAGGCGAAGCAACTCATCTTTCTCTATCTTAGTTATACTAACGTCGAGGGCGAAATCTTTGCTGAGGGATTCTATATGGACATCGTAAACTTGCATCTTTCGGGTGGTCACTCCTGTCAACATTGCAATTTGTTGTATACCAGCTGACTTTCATTTGGCACCAATTAGCTGAATGACAGTTGAAGACGCGTATGAATGACTAGTGCCGCTGTCCAACAACGCTCGGAATTTATAGCAGTTTATGCGTACAAGCACTACCAGGTGAATCACAGAACTGGGACCGATGTGACTCGCAGTCATTCCAAGCTCTCGAGGCTTCTGATTTTTGTCACAAATTGTAGTGTGATGTTTTCCACCGCATGTTTGGCATCTACTCTTGCTCTTACAATCCACAGCTCTGTGTTTGCCCCCGCACAGTAGAAGCACAGATGCTTTTCTGCGAAGATTTTCTTCCGGGCTTCACGTCGAACAAGTTTGTCACAATTAAGGGCTTTGTGGTTTTCATCAGAACAGAAGAGACAACCTTTCGTGTGATACGCATTACCATTGTCTCTATTTGCAAAAAATGATCTACCTCTTTCTCTTGGAAACTTCTTCTGTTGACTATCTTTTACTGGATTGTTTTTCGTCCACTTTCCGAGAGCTTTAACAAATTGTTCAAAGGTCCATTTGTTCCAGTTTCCATTAGTCATCGCTAATTCGCTCTTAATCGCATCCAATTTGTCAACGGTGAATCTAACTGCCACATCCAGTTTACCAAGACTGTCCAATGTTTGTAATGACTCAACATTGTATAACAGTGTTTCATAAAAGTTGTGTATTTTCACCACGTCTCTTTCTTGTATGGTCGGTAACTCCAGTATACTTCTCACATATGCACCAACTACTTCACTCGAATCTCCATATTTTTTCTCCAAAAGACTCTTCGCTTTTTCATATCCTTCATCTGTAAATGGGAGCCCATCAATTAATTTGCGCACCTTAATTTCCACTAGCTCCTTTAGGTACGAAAACTTCGTAACAGGATACACATTGGATTTGTCAATCTGTGCATGGTTCGTCAGTCTTGAGGTGTTCCGTCAAATTTAGTTATAACCAGCTTTGGCATCTTTGCTGCAGTAGATACTTTTGAAGTTGATTGACTCGATAGTTTTGAAGTTGGTTGTAATTCCTTAAGTTTCTGTTGGTGCTCCCAGTCTAATTTCCGTTTCTCTTCATCTGCTTCCTTCTCTTGTCTTAACTTCTGTTCAGTTAAGCATTTCTGAAAATCCAATTTATGTTGTTCTTCTTTCAATGTTAGCTCTTCTTTCGCAGCCAACTCCACACAGCTTATCTCTTGAGTCAGTCTCCGAACACATTGGTCTGCTTTGGTTAGCATTCTTTCAGGTGTTGCAGCCCATATCTTTACTTCCTCTTTGTCTTTCCGTTGTAAGAACATCTTCTCTTCGATAGTTTCCTTCAATGTGTTTACCATCGTCGATATAGCACTTACTGATAAACGTTGTCTCTCTAATGTTTCCTTGTCCTGTTTAGTAATGATGTCATCCGATTTGCTCACTCGATATTTTAATGTTTTTAATTTACCCTCAAGGTCTTCCAAAAGTTTATCCATTTTAATTTGGGTGTTTTTAGCTAGAATAGCTTTGGTAAAGCTCAACGCTCCCGAAATTTACGACAAAAAAACGCCCTGAATAACTTACAATACGATATAGTTTGCTTAACGCCACTGTGTCAAAAACGTAGCACTCTTGAGCCACTATGCTTCCTTAAAACTCACAGTTCACTTTAGATAATGTTCTTTATTTAAAATAAAGAATAAACTCACATCACGGTATATAAACGCTCACTAGAACTCGGGCTCACTAGACACTATATAAAAGTAACATGAAGTTTTCTACAATAGTGTCTATATATACACAATATACATATATTATCAGAAAAAATTAAAAGTGTATAAAGTGTATATAGTGTGTGTTCGAGTGAATGTCAAAGAGTATATTGTGTATATAGTGTATATATATACACATTATAATATAGTCATTCACGTATTTCAGCTGTTCTGCAATCTGATTGGTTGAATTACTTGCCATATATCAGCTCATATACGGCGAGTAGCGAAAAACAAGATGGCGGTCCAAAAACTACATGAGTTTTGCGAAGCAGAAAAAAGGAAAATATTCACTTTGAGAAAGATTATTAATATACAAGGAAACACTCTCAAAAAGTTTTGACAGGTTAGCAAAATACATTTATTACATAGAAATTAGTTTAAATACAAGTTTTTTTAAAGAATTAATACCGAAACAACAGCGAAAAAAACAAAATTCATTGATATAAATTGTTCAGAAAAGTTTGCAACGAAAGACAAATGAATTTGCAGTCAACAAGCACTTACTATACTACCAAACATCTGTATAATATATCTGAGCTTTTCTGTGAGATATACCAGTTCTATAAAACCATTTCTTTCACTTCATCTTCGAGTTGTAAAACAAAAGTATTTCAAATTTTCAAGGCCAAGCGGTTTTTGGCCATACAAATTGCCAAGACATTGTAACAGGGGATAATTAATTATTACTTCAGTTAATGGCTATTAGACTATATTAAAAAACTCATTAATAATTCATGAAGAAAACACAAAGAAAAATCATAAGCGTGTCGTATCTGTATATGTGATACAGATTCATGTTGATTTACATAAACTTTAACTTTGATTTTCTCAGCTTAGATTAGTCTTTTTTTGAATATTGAGTATGTGTTTTTATCATTCGTTTCATAATTTGAGTACAGCCGACTTTTATACACAAGTTACATCTTGTAAAAGGAAGATTTCCACAGCAACAAGAGAATTATTTGAGATTGAGAGGGTTATTTTGAGGAAACTTTGTCATGGAAAGGTATGAACATTACTTGTTTGACTTTTAACTGGAGACAAGGCCAGTCATTAAATAAACGTACCTTACTATGTTTTGTAAACTTTGTCAATCATAAATCTTTTAGTCCAGCAGACAGGCGAAGGCAATGTGCGTTTAATGATACAAACATGAAACTTGGCACAACTGCAGAACATCTAAAGGCAAACATTTTTAGCTATAGGGCCATCACGTGTTTGCCACATGATCAAGATGGCAGCCATTTAAAAAAGTCGATTGTATTTTGCTCAATATTCATATTCAGCGTCGCTAAAGCCTAGTTTCCATTTGGTCGTTATCGCTGGCACGACAAGTGGCTGATGTAATACCTGAGTGAGTGTCAACAAAACTTTATAAAACTCTGCAATCATTAAGACTGATTTGCATATAACACACAAAAAGACTATTATTATATTAGACTATTTCACATCTACCGCTTGTCGTGCCAGCGACAACTAACGACCAAATGGAAACTAGGCTTAAGGCTTATGAAAATAAATACCTATTCTTTACATGTTTATAGTACGTAACAGGCTGACAACTTACATTCATTACAGTTAGCCATGGTAACTTTTCCTTACGATTTATATAAATCTTTTCAAATATGAAGAAATTGAAACCATGATGATGATTTTGTTTGCATTAGCACAGAAAGACAAATTGCAATGAATAGCTTTGCCACTGATTAACATAGGTATAAACAGTAATATGATCGTAAGTCAACAGAGTGTCCTCTTCTGAATACTACGACCGATTTCACCATAAAATGTGAAACTAAGTGCTGGTTAAATATTGATATGTTTCTATTGTGTGTATGAAGCATACGATTTTATTATTTTAAATGCATTCTCCGCCACAAAAAAAGTGCAGTACACTTAAGTGCTGCCTTAGGGCACTTGCAACGACCGCTACAACCTTTCTTGCATCAACAACGTAAAAGTTCTCTGCAAGCTTTGGAAGCCTCGGGTAGAGTAGACCAACAAATTTGCCAGCCATCCAATTCATTTCTTTTCCAACCCCAATTACTTGGACAAGGTAGATCTTGTACTGCTTTCAAAGCCTGGCCCCAGCAATAAGAAGCCTGATATGTTGCTTGTCGCGAATGCTGAAGCAGAGCAGCTTTAGTGGGGGGGGATACTTTCTATTGACCTTCCCTTCTGTGTAAACAGCTGTTTCCGAACTTGGTTGACACAGTTAAGGCTGCTTGTACGACCATACATTAGGATCACAAATCGTTCTAAAGACTTCATGTTGTCGTTAATGGACTCTGGCTTTTCCATCAGAGAACAAAACGCCTTGGTGATGGTTTCGTAGACACTCCACGTACCCCATGCTGTTTTCTTTTGCCTACCAGCAAAGCACGCGATTGTATCGCAGCCGGTGAATGCGTGGAACATCGGTAATGATATGCAGCGATCATGACCAAGGGCTCTAGCCATTTCATGAGCTGCTAGAAATCGAAAATTTCTTCCAGTTCGATCCAAAAGAAATCCACAGCTCCATAACGTCAATGCGTTGAACTGATGCCACAGCCAGCACAACAACGTCAGTATCAACAGTGCGTATGGAGAGTTTGTTGTAACCATTTGCCACAGCGTCTGTAAGATGAATAATAATTCTCGTATCAGCTTCTTCATGGGTACAAGGGGCAAGTTTTGATAATTCTATGGTATGGTTACACAATACATCAGAGTTATATGTGCTGATTATCACCTTATCGTTTTCACTGGTTGTCGATGTCAAAATGGTAACGAACAGCTCTGTTTTATTCTCGTCAATGCGAGGGAACTCTTGCCAGTTTCCAGGAATCGCAGTGGAAGCTTCCACTTGCCTGCCAACTCCTTTTCCCCTCCTTTTTCGAATTTCGAGCTTTAAGCTGTCCGGAAAGTATTGATCCCAAATAATGTCAATTCTTTCTACGTGTTGCAACTGAGAAACAATATATGGCAAAAACACTTGCCGTGCATAATCCAAGAATGTCTTCGCAGCTCCAGGATGCAGCATATTCACTATAGCAGAGCCATCGAAAATAGTCGCTTGTACACTGGGATGAATGGTGCTCTCCTGAAAAGGTACAAGATCTTCTAGGCATGCAACAAGATCGGCCTTCTTCGTTGCTCACATGGCGCCATTCTGGGACAACACTGGTGGGTATGCTTGATTCTCGTGCTCGTCAAGATTGCCATCACGCACTTGAGATGCTACGTACAGCCTAGAGAAAAGTGAGCGATCATTCTTAAGGGATGTTAATTGTTGCTGAGTCTTGTTTTTCTCTTTTACTTGAGGTCGTCCAAAAACAGGAAGACCGTTCTTCTTGAATGGATCAGAAACTGGTAAATTTTGATTGACTAGCCGCTCGTTGACGTACGCGCTATGCTGTTCCTGTCCCAACTTTTTAATCTGAAACACAATTTCAACAATGGCTTTCTCAGCAATATTCCTGTTGTCAAGTACAAGAAGATCACAGCTATCTTCACAGAACGGATTTCCAAAATGGTCAATAGTGTTAACTAAGCTACATGCATCGCGCTTAAATGCCGTCTGCGCATGTTCTGTGTCCTCGTGATGGCGTAAATCTGTAGTTTTCTTCTTGTTTGCGGAAATCTCAAACTCTTGGATCAGTCTAGCCATCTCAGGACTGGACGCCATCCAGCGATGAAGAGCAGCAGGATTCTCGGTCAGACCCACGGCCCCACCGTCACCCTTTACAAGAGCACTATTTTGCTCGTGAGCTTGGTCAATAGAAATGGCAGAGAATCGACGAGTTGTCTTCTTTACAACAAACTTTCCATTCGTAAACTCAAAAAATGCAGTTGGATGAATATCTCTCAATGCAACCATGTCCCTAATGTGCACAGGTAACCACCTTGCATAATGAATGTGGTCAAAGGCAAAGAACCAGGGCACTATATTTGTAAGGGCATCGATGTAGAGATTGAAATCGCCTTCCCTCAAAGCCCTTACAAATATCAGGATAGCTATTTCAAACTGCAAGACCAGAAACCAGAATTTGAACTGCGGATAATATAATCGGCAGATTTGTTAGAACACCAGTTGTTAAAGGACATGTGAGGAGCATTCTCTTCTAGGTTGCTTGAATACACGAAATAAGCTTGTTTTACCAAAATATACAAGGAACATGCTGTTACTTGATGCGCTCGCCGAGTACGTGTAACATGAGAGGCATGTAGAAATGACTCAGCTGTCCCCGGTGACGCGACTTTCGCCTCTCCCAATGCGGCAGTCCAGCCACGTCCGTTGAGCAGTGTACCCAGTGCTTTGAGCGCAGCCATTTCAATGTGGAGACCACCAAACATCACAATGAACTGACTTTCTCCATGGCTTGCTTTCCAGTTCCACTGGCTTTGCTTTCCAATCGCGTATGGCGCGGTTGGTCAACAGTAATGATTGGTACCTGACCAGGGTTGAGAATTTCAGTTGCCCTCTTTATGACATCCATCGCGTGGCGAATCATTGCTATGGAATGAGCTTCATCATAAAATAAGGGCAAAAGTGATGTTTGGGTTACACTGGCATTCGAAATTTCCTTATGTCGTCGAAGGTTGGAATAAAAGGCAGACCATGACACTTTTTTTCTCCAATGCTATCTTTTTCTGAATTCTCTTCATTTGTGGTGAACCGAGTCACTATCGGCATCCAGATCATACATCTGTCTTAATGCTATACAAATATCATCCTTAAAAACGAGAACAACTTTATTGGCCTGGCTACGAGCTTCCATTTCCGGGAAATAGCAGAAAATTCTATTCTTCAGTCAGGTGGAATGAACACGTCCTGACACACTTGTGCGAAGTTGTTCCAATCGCTTCGTGTAAAGGCTTACTAGATCTGTCAGGTACAAAATTGGTGCTACAATATTGTCGTTCTGGACGTTTTCAATATAGCTAACTAGTTCAGCAAGAGCAATGCCATGGTTGATTAATTCCTCATCAGTATTTGTATGTGTTTCCGTTTCGCGCATTCTGTTGTACAGTGAAACGAGGCACTTGCTGTGGTATTGAGCATCCTGAGCCACCATATCTCCAGAACTCAGTTTAGCTAGCAGGGATTCGTCTTGCAATCATACGTTGAGCACATGTACGAACGCGAAAATCAAGTTCGAGTGTTGCTGCTTTTCGTAAAGACTCTCCTACTTTTGCTTCCATGTCACAAACACAGCAGCGAGGAACATCGGAAGACGCTTGCTTTATACGCCGACGTATTAACTTTGGAGGAACGTCACTTGTCGTGTTGTCTGGAGATGTTGCCTTTCGTTTTTCTGCCCTGTGAAGTTTTGATTTGTTAAACTTGAGTCTACAGGTATCATGCTGTTTAGCTCTATTAACTTTCTTCAACACCTTTACCTTCATCAATTTGAGACATTTATTTGCTTTGGTAAACAACCGAGCTATTCAAATGCAATGAGATTTTCAGCGGTTGTTTTATAACCAGCTCCATCTGTGCCACGCTTAGAATCGGCAGGGCAAGAGAGACTTTCAGAAGTGCTGTCTAGACACAAAATACATTTATTCCAATCGATCTCTGTCCGCTGTTTATCTGATGTTGTTGGTTCAAAAGGATTTACAACTTTGTAGATTTTCACCATTGCATATTCGCTAAGACTGATCACATTATGCGTTTTGTGTCCTAATATATTTAAGAAAGCATAGAGACTCTGAAAGTTAAAGAATGAAATAAATTTTCAGTCAAATACAATTACATTCTTAATACCAACACGTTTTCAACGCTTGCCATAATGACGTAATGTCTTTCGAACTTTTCATAATATCATCATATATTCATATTATGTGTTTATATACGCATGTATATTAAATTAGCTTTAACTAGCGAAATTTCATTGGTTTTTATAAGGAAAAGTCTGTCTTAGTAGAGTTCTATATGCCTTTTTTGCAAAAAATAATTAAAAAGTAGTAAGGCCAAAAAAAAAATATGTGGGTTTCCGGTTTCTTCTTATAAAAACTTAGGTAGGGTAGGTCGGTTTTAACTTTTTTTTTTAAACTTTTTTTTTAATTTTCCGAATAAGCGGACGCCATTTTGTTTAGTCAGTGCTTCCACATCCAAAGATAAATTTCCCTAATATTGCCTCAAATTTCAATTTTTCACAAACCTTTTTCCTCTAAGTGGAAACACTTACAAGCGTGATCCAATAAAAAAGTTTAGGGTTGGGATTTCGACGTCCAAAAGCTAGGTAGGGTCGGGAAACCGGAAACCCACATATTTTTTTTTTTGGCCTAAAGACAATGACAAGTACTTACATATATTGTAGAGCTTCGTTCTTCTTTAGCATTTGGACTGTCTATCATTACAGTCAGCGGTTGATTACTTTATGAAGAATATGAAGAATTTACGAAGAATATGATTACTTTATGTTAGTCAGTTTGCAACAAACTTGTTTAATTAATTAAGAATATAACATTAAAACTTGAGGAATGAAAATTCTTTAATTGAAAAGTTCATTGAGCAGCCAATAATTGAACTATACTATTTGTATCAGGCCCATGACAAAAAAGAAGAGTTTGGTCATAAATAGGCAAATTAAATGATGCTAATATTTTCTGGCTCTAAATATGGAATAGAAAATATTTCCTACCAGATTTTTTTGTAAAGGTTGAATAGAAAGCTGGTTTAATACAACAGATCTTTTGTAATAGCCGCCATATTGGTCACGTGACTTACAGGTGATGGCCCTATAGCAACAAATGTTTGTATTGGTATGATGTATCATTGTGCAAAGTTTCATGCTTGTATCATTAAACGCACAAGTTGCAAAAAAATTGCATATATCTGCTGGACTATTTACACCTTCTCATATTTAAATATCCAGCAAATACCTGTGCAGGACACAATGTTTATACTTGTCTTGCTTTGTTTATGCCACTGCAGATGGAATATTATGTGAAGTGGAAGGGCTACTCAAGCTTAGAAAACACATGGGAACCTGAAGAACATCTAAATGTCACCGCAATAAGGTGTTAATCCTATATATTCTTTATTAGTCAATAATTATTTACAATATATCTATATAATTTGAGCATAGGTATTTCATTGGTTATAATATGATTTCAAACACTCAGTTCCTGTGTGCTGTCCTTTATTATCATGCTATATCTTACTGAATGCAGAATTATACCTATCCCATGAAGGGAAAACATCTATAAACTATAATATTTTCATTCATTCAAAACCTCGATTTCATCTGAAAGGGATCTATAACTATATAACTATAGTTGTACTATTTTAATTAATTGTATTTTTGATAGGTCATTTGCAAATCCATCTGCTGAATCAATACAGCAGGGAAAAGATGGTTTGGCCTGCGGATTGCTGGAGCAACTAAAATCAAGGAGTGTTCTTCCCACAGTCATTCCTTTTCGTCACAATGTTTTTGAGTACTGTCTATACTTTTGAACGAAGCTGATTTTGATGCATGCGATTTACCCAAGGATTGGGATAACATAATGGACCACATAAGAGATGGTCTGAGGATAGATTTTCCTGTGATGATTTGCCCTTTCCTGTCATGGAGCCCGAAGACTTGTGCTTTGGTTGGAGGAACAATTGTGCCATATTTCGTCCAGAGAAGGTTGGTATTTCCATTTGTTAAACAGCATTTAGTTTATCATAAAATAGACTAAATGCTGTTTTCTGCTGTTTTTCTGCTGAGAAGATTAGGTTATCCAACTAGAAGTTAGTGACTTCCTGACAAAAGGCACTTACTCGAAAACGTTGAAGAAATTAGTATATTCTTATTTTTCAGGAGTTGGATAACCTACTCTTCTCGGTTACTATTCGCATCGCTACCTACACTGGCATCCGCGTCGCAAGACTGTATTGATAGAAATCCTGCCTCTGTGTTCCCTGACAGTACAAAAATTTGATTTGATGTATTACATATTATTTAATTTAACCCATTTCTGACCAGTCTGAAAGGAACTTTTTATAATTTTTGAGAAACAGCATGGGAGAGGTTATTACCAACGGAGTCCTTGGTCTGAATGGGTTAAGTTTATAATATTTATATATAATATTGAACAGTTAGTGCCAGTGAAGGTAGTGAAGATAGCCTTTGTCAGGACTCTGCTTGAAACATCAAAATTCTGCTAATATTATGTATTATAGTTAATTTGTCCTGTCTGTGATCATGAACATGGATATAGTTCTTAGATTGATTTTCTTCGTTTGTTTCGAATTTGAGTTTCCCAGCAATGTGCATCTGTCTTGTTGTATGACCTCTTCATGCGTTCACTGTCACGTAGTTCCCACTGCCTGCATTCCAATTCGAGAACATCTGATGTAGGATTCTTATTGTTGGATTTTAACAGAACCACTTTTCTTGCCACATTTTTTTCAACCCCCTGTCCAGTGAAGATTTTGATTGATCGATACAACTGCATAAATCTGGGTATATGGTAGACAAGTGAATACATGTAAGGGGTCACTGATGCTCTGCTATATCCCTTGTGAATTGACAATGTTCTCAAAGATGTAAATAGATTTATCCGATTTTTTTCCTTTTGAAAAAAATTCTCAGAAATCTCAGGGGTAATTGTGCTATTACTTGTAATTATTCTGTTGAGTTCATGAAAATCCTTCCAGATGTTAATAACTACATCACATGTTTCCGGCATGAGACACTCGTCACACTCTCTCAACTTATGGGGAAGCTCAGCTAAGAGTTTCTTATCTGGGCCAAGAAGACTAGTAAAGTCTTATTGTCCAGATCCATTCCCATCTTCATTTCTTTTCTCCCAAATGTCGAAACTGACACAGCAAGACCTGATTGGTTGATCGCAATTTTTCTAATTCTTGTATTTTTTTCACACTTTTTTGTTGTTGAAATTTTCTTTTTTGTCCCAGGAAATCACTTCCTGAATTATGTTGTTCAATAAGACATCCATTACTCTAAGTAATGAATGAAGCTCATCCAAAACAACTTGGTCTGAATCAATCTTAATTCATTATCGGCTTGTGCACGCAAAAGTACTTGCCTCGAGTTCCCTCTTTATTTGCCATGTCAATTACTTGTTGCAGCGTGCACCTGAGTGGAGGAGAGTTATAACAATTTAAATCTTTGTCCATTTGCCACCGTTTTTTCTTTTTTACCTTTCTTTTTTAAGTTGCCAATTTCATTCCCAACATTATCAAAAGGAATTTGTAATCCGCTCCGAGGAAGAATTTAAGATCAAATTTTGAATTATCAATTGTTATTTCACTCACCTCAATTAAATCATTTATCTCCTGAAAAACTGCTCCGAATGAGTCATTATTGAGAGTTTCATAACGTTCCGAGCCTTGACAACTGCAAAAGTATGATTTCCACTTGCCAACATTACACTATTTTCGCCTTGAAGTAAAGAAAAGGAAAGCAAGATGAAACTTGACTTCCTTGTCATTTCTGCCCCATCACCAGAAATTTTTATCTGTATTTTCTCTTTACTCCAATCCATCATCAAGTCATGTTCATTCACAACATCCTGAATTTGTGATTTCAACAAATCTGTAAAAGATAACTGGGCACCATCTGCTTCAGCAGGGGTTGGGATAACCTCACTGATATAATTAAACTGCCCTCTCCTCTGTTTAACCAGGTAAGATTTGGGAAGACCATCGACAATCATAGTCAGTTCATGGTAGAACGAATCTCTAACACAAAATTTATCCAGGAGAAACAAAACTTGTTCAATTTTTTCTTTGTCATAATCAGTCAAACTGTCAAAACCCTTGCTGCCATAGTTGTATTACTGGTATAAAGATTGTGGAATATTCCTGTCCGTTGTTCCATAGCTTTGATTCCTTTCAATTCTAGGCCAAATGATTTCATGAACCAGAGTGCAATTTTAGCATGTGACATAAAAGTATTAAGAGATCTCGACTTTTTGGAACATTGGACACATCCTTGCCCTTATTTTGAAAAGTTTGTTTATTTTCAAGACAATTAATATAATCAAGAAGTTACTTGTTTACATTGTGAAGATTTCTGATCTCTTTATCGTTAAGCACAGTAACCATCTCTGTGTACAACTTCTCTTTCTCTTCTTTGAGATTTTGGTAACCTTTGCCGCCATTTCTCAAGCTCATCAGAGGCCGCTGTCATTTTCTTTTTGCAGATCCTTCACTGAAATTACCATTCTCTCCAATACATGAAACCTTTTTGAACTAGCATCTAATTCCATTCTTTTCCTCCCTCCCTTTGTATTGTTGTATGCCATTTTATCCTTATTTGGGCAACAATCCTCAGCTGTATGATCTTCAGTTGTCTGGTTTCTTGAACTCTGGATAACTATATATTCTTGCCATCATTTCAGCAGTGGATATGGAATATCTACTGCAAATATTGGCTGCCTGGAAGTGTCTTTTGCGGCATATGCTAATGAGGTCTTTCAATGCCTAATTTCCATTCCAACATTGATTTTACAAGAGGAATATCAGACATTTTAAAAACTTAGAACAGATGATAAATTAAAATCAACAACCCACACACCTTGTTCTTGTTTGATGTACTGCTTGTAATCTATTTTATAACGTTACCGACTGAAAATATTGTAATTTGTTGAAAATATTGAAACTATATTTTCAATTTTCGTGCTATTTTGAGCCATTGTGTACCTCCTTTTATTGGCCAGCAACCATTAGCATTAATGTTTACAAAATGGTGTTAAAGAATACAGTTGTATGATCGAAATTTTGGAGAATTTCACAGCTGTTCATCACTACAAGCTCTTCGGTTGTAAGAATTCAAGCTTGCAGTTTGTTAAAAAAAGAGACGAGTTTAAAACCATTTGGCTGTAGGAATACAAGCTAAGGGGGGGGGGGGGGTTCTAAAGCAACACAAAATGACAGTTTGAACATTGTACAGGAACATAGCAGCCAAAGGGGATTTCACCGTTTTAATGGAGTTACTCGGGCCGGATAATAGCAAATTGTGAGACGTCAAGAGTTTGTAAGACAACATTGTTGAGGTATTTTATAGATTTGTAGACGTGGGCAACTTGAAAATTTTACACTCTTTGTGTATGCGATTTTATATTTTTATACTGTTAAAGCTCTATATTTCCGCCATCTTGAATTTGTAACATTTGTTAGCTCTGTGCATATACTGACAAAGCCAACCGCCATACTGTCCTTCATCTCTAGCCATGTTGGCTTTCGATTGTGATACAGACAAACCAGATGAAGCTGCAACCCTAATAAGTTTCCTATCTTTTTCACTGCTAGCCAGACTACACAAAAGTTTAATTTCTACCTTAATTGCTCAATTTTTCACACTTGTTCTCTGGCACTTGTTCTCAATGAACTGGGAAAGTTTTTTATTATCTCTTCCACTTGACTACTCTGTAACGAATAATTTTTTTATAGGAAAATGGCCATGGGCAACTGCATTAACTGACGAACAGCTTTGTCCGATTTATACTGGAAGTGATTGAAATGCTTCTTGTAGAGTAATGCCAACTGACAAATGTTATCTTTAATAACTTCTTTAGCTGCATTAATTAGTGATTTACAATAACCTTGAAAATAACAGTAAATTTTCTGTTCTCTTAGAAACTCTTCTAGTGTTAAATCCTTGACGTGTGAAATATACATATTGTCAACTTTGCAGTCCTGACTCAACTTAACAACATATTCTAGATATTTAACATAACATAAGTTTGATGCTGGATCAATGCAATTTTCATATAAAACCAAAGTACAATCAGAATAATTATGCAACTGAGGGAGGAAAATCTGTAACGGTCAGCAGCATTAAAATATGGAACAATCTCCCGAAGGATATTAAGACGAAACCTAGCGTTAATTCCTTTAAGTTTGCCCTTAAAAAATACTTCTTAGAATCTTATAAGGGCATCGATCGCTTTGAATTATTATTGTGATCAGCAAGTTGTACTGTATATAATTTGTATATATAAATTTATAATCCTAAGATCTTTTACATATTTACTCTAAATAGCTTTTAGATGTTTTAAAGTAGAATTAATAACTTTGTATGTATTGTATATGAGGGCCACAGGTTTTTCAGTTATATTGCTGTCATGTGTTTTTACCCTCTTTAAATAAAGTTGTTCATTCATTCATTCATAATGTACTTTGGACTTGTCCCACATATTTGCTTATTTAATATATTTCAGCTCAAAAGCCTCCAAAGACAAATGCATCTGCGAACAAAGTCAAACGAAAGTCAAATGTTGAGAAATCATTGGAAGTGGTACTGCAAAAATCTCAAGAATTTTCAAACGAAGACTTTAAGAGGTGAGTCATTGTAATTATCTAGCTAGAAATTCACCATCCTTGCAAGAGCCACAAATGAGTCATAAAAGGTCAGAAAAATTGCTTTTATATGTTGTATTTTATTTGTTAATATCGTGAATATTTCATTGCCACTTTCAAGGTCATGTTCATTGACCCAAAACATGCATAAGTACAAAGGGAATTTAACATAAGTAAAATGTGATATACAGGGTGTCCCAAAAAAAAAAAAAAAAAAGTATTGAAATCACTTATTGTTAAAATTGAATGCTCTACCAAAAAGCTGAACGTAATGATGCATAAAATATTGACAAAGTGCATGTATTAAAATTTAGTTAAGAACATCTCCTTGTAAAGTGCGCGATTTTCTGCTCTTGAGAATTTAAAGCAGCTTCTTAAATAGTTTCTTTATGCATAAAATTTACTTATGTCAATAATTTATGCACTAGTGGGAACCAACAGAGTGCTAAGGCATTCAAATTCTAACAATTAAATTGATATCGGTGATTTCAATAGTTTTTGTTTTTTTGGGACACTGTGTATATACAAAATTATTCAAAATTTCTTTTATTAAATTACTAAACAAAAAAGTTATCAAAACATTTGAGAAAACGAGATCTTTACAGCAAAAATCACAATATATTTCAACAGTTTTTAATCGAACTGCGCGTTGAGAATAAATATCTTGAATAATATAATGAGACACAATGATTCGTGTGTTGCATTTTGGGAAAACCCTCATTCCTCCTCTGATGTCAAATTGAGCACCCTTAACACCAAAGTCTGAAAATATTGTCTGCCTCAAGCACATGGGGTTTTCATTCATGATGAATTTCCACATTTGGGTTGTGCAAAGGCTGGATAACAAACCATTGTGTAGGCCTGCACAACCACTCTCGTGGACGTAGCTTTCCAAGTTCTTTGACGGCCCAAAGTGTACCACATGTCGAAAACTTTTACAATCAATGCCCATGCCAAATGCAATGGTTGATATTAGTACAGGAATATGTCCAGTTGCTTTGCTTTTTCACTTGGTCAGGTTTACCAGCATGCATAGATGCCAAGGTGGAGTGATCTGCATGTGTGAGACACCATCCACAGACGCAATCCAATGCCCCCCCCCCCCTTTGGATCTCTGATATGGAATTTCCAGCGTTTCATTCCCAGGATACTGTAATCAGATAGCATTTACGCACTGGAAATAGGCTCAATTTATGGCATCAAATGAGGTGTTGACAGCAAATTCACACTGATACTAAACACCTACCCACTCTATTGCATTCACCAGATTAATTTACTGACTAGTTTCATAGTGTAAAATAGAAAAACTAAATGCCAAAACATTTCACAGGTTTCCAAAGTTTACATTGCTCTCCAGATTTACATTTTTTTATTAAACTCTTCAATCACAAGCAGCCAAAGCAGCCCACGTGTGAGATAAATAATACTGCGCATGTGAGCGTGAGAAAATATGCTGAGGCATGTGTCACACACATAATGTGAGGTATGAGCATGGTACATTTCAACAACTCTGTTCTGAGGTCTGTTAATACCATTGTATAGGTTGTTTACAATGCTGTACATAACTTTTTGAAGGTGGAGAGATCGTAGAAGATTGGTTGGCTGACAGTGGCATAGCCAGACCTTCATTTTTAGGGGGCGAAGCGAACAGAGAAGGTGTGAGACTGCCTAGGGGGTCCAGGGGAATCTAGAGTCCCTGAAATGCGATTTCAAGCATTTTGGGAGTGAAATCTTGCAGAATTCCTAAATTATAAAGGACCTCGAGACATAAATTTTCCCAGACATTTCTACTCGGAATGAAATAAATTGGAAAAGTCACCCCGAAAAACAGGGGGACGGGTCAGTGTCACCTTATTTCCCCTCTGTGATGCTCTGGGGAGAAAATATCAATGTGATTTTGATCAGAAATTTTGATTTTAAATAATTTTAGGTTCTATGAGACACTATTTCCACATTCTCAAAATTGCTTTGTTTTTTTATACGATACAGAATAAGTTTGAGAAGAATATTCATGCTATGATAATGCATACATGTAAATCTAAACTAAATCTATTCTTCTTGGAACCATATCTACAATGTGCCATCCAAATGCAAAATAATGATTTACAATCATATGTGCAATCAGGGGCGGCACTAGACAGACCTCTTTGAATTGGGGAGTTTAAGGCAAATTTTGCCTAGTCACTGCAGCCACTAATTGATTAAATTTCTTTTCCCAAAAGTGTTGGCAACCAGGTGGGTGGTTAGTGGTAGCACATCTTACATGAACCTTGATAATTCTGAATATAAAAAAGCTCATCCAATAAGGTGTAGAGAATTAGCAGCTTATACTTGAGATTACATGGCGTTTAGAGAGATGGGGGGTCAGTGGACTTGAGCCGAAAATGTTTATTGTATGTTTTTAGTTGTATGTTTATAGTTATATGTTTAATATTGTTTTATGTATAAGATTTCTTCCAATAATAACTGGGTAACATTAGAAAGTTACAGATGTGGCTTCCTTCAATTTCAGGCCCACCCATCTGATAAATAATGAACAGTCCCTATAACTTACATGTGTACATGAAAAATGAAAAGGGCAAAGTAAAACGGAGAAAAGTCCATTTCCAAAAGACCGAAAATAGCTAGATTTTAGAGTTGATATGTAAGTTTCATTTCACATGGTCATGAAGTTAAAATTGTTTATAACTTTGAGTTTTGTTGGTTTGTAATGTTGTTGTATATGATTTGTACACTTTAATGACTTCATATAAAAATTTTAGAACGATTTTCAAGATACTTTTGGCAAGCACTTCCATTTTGTCAGGTATTTTTGCCCTGGCCAAAGCCAGTGTTTGTAAGCCTAAGTTGGTAATAGACATTCACTGAACTGGATTGTGGCAGGAATGGTGAGGTGCATTTCTTGCACCACAAAGGTAATCTAAATTCAGCTTGAAGTAAGGTGCAATTAGCGCCATCTTGACAGAGAGGTATGTCAAATGATGATCTGAACCTCGATTGGAATAGATGAAAAGGATTGGATCCAACAGCAACAATAACTTGACATCCATGTTTTTCGGAAGTGACAGGCAAGTCAGCAAATAAAAATGACCCCATCCCGACTCCCAAGAGGCTACAACTCCATTGTTGTCGGAACCATTTACCACCCACCACACGCTAATGACCCTGCTATGAGAGAATATTTAACCAAGTGTTTATCGTATATTGAATCGCATTATAGTAATTGCGGTGTTGTGATTGCTGGGGATTTTAATCGCTTAGAAACAACGCATTTGCAAAATAGCTTTAAATTAAAACAAATTGTGAATTTCCCAACGTGTGGTGTAGCCACACTTGATTTAATTCTTACCAACATCAACGAGTTTTATCAATCCCCCATCAAACACCCTCCACTTGGTTTGTCAGATCATCTGTCTATTGAAATCCAACCTCGTGAAAGATGTACCATGAATGGTGTCAAGATCAAAATTAGATCAAGAGATTTGCATCCTAGTAAACGTGCAGCAATGGCGACCTATCTACAACAAGCAGATGTCAATTCTCTAATTGGTGCTGTTGATAGCTGTCAAGAGAAAACTCTACTCCTGCAGGAAATTATTACAACTGGCCTTGACTTCATTTTACCTACTCGTACCCGAACAGTTCACTCGACAGAACCACCCTGGATTACATCGACTTTAAAAGAGTTAATCCAAAAGAGACAAAAAGCACTAGCTAGCAGTAACGAGTATGAGTTTCGTAGACTGAGGAATCGGGTTAACAGAGAACGTAAGAAATGCCGTGGCAAATATTACCAAGCAAAAGTGGAGAACTTAAAAAAATGCAAGCCATCTTCATGGTGGAATGAAGTTAAAAAACTGAGTGGTTGTTCCCCGTCTAGCTCCACACAGGGTAACCTTGCTAAGTCTCTTCAACATCAATATGCAGCATTGGACGAAGTGAGTTTAGCAAATACCATTAACTAAGCTTTCATTTCCCCCATGCACGACTATACTCTCCTCCAAAATAATCTTCAACATAATCATGATAATCACGATCCCCTTGTTGTATCCTCCTACTCAGTATTTATCAAATTGTCAAAGTTAAACCCCAGCAAGTCTAGCGGTCCTGACAATATGCCGGTGTGGGTTTTGAAAGAGAACGCAGATGTATTGGCCTCGGCAGTTTCGGATATACTAAATAGTTCTTATCGTGAAGGAAAATTACCAACACCATGGAAAGAAGCTAATGTAGTTCCTGTGCCAAAACAAAAACCGGTACAAGACGTAAATAAACATTTAAGACCCATCTCGTTGACCCCAGTTTTATCAAAGATTGCAGAACAATATGTCGTTGAAAGGTACATTAAACCAGCTGTTTTAAAAAATGTCAATCCACAGCAGTACAGAACTGTGCCTAATTCTAGCACGACCTTTGCACTAATCAACATGGTCCACACCTGGCTCCAATCTACTGATGGAAATGGATCTACAGCAAGAGTAATGCTCTTCGATTTTCGGAAAGCATTCGATTTAATTGACCACAACCGTTTTGGTACGTAAGCTCTCGTCGTATGATTTTCCAACATCTGTAATGCGCTGGATTTTAGATTTTTTATCAAATCGAAAGCAAAGAGTGAAGATGAGCAGCGATTGTTTTTCTGAGTGGGCTGAGTTACGTGCCGGGGTGCCACAAGGAACAAAACTTGGCCCCTGGTTGTTCTTGATTATGATTAACGATGTGAAGATACCTGATTTAGATCTATGGAAATATGTCGATGATTCCACCATGTCCGAAATAGTGAAGAAAAATGAAGCAAGCTCTATGCAATTGCATGTGGATGATTTCATGACTCAAACAGAAGAGGACAATTTCCATTTGAATGAATCTAAGTGTAAGGAGCTGAGAATAACATTTTCAAAGGCGGATTCTTTAATGGACCCTATCACCATTAACGGAAAGGAAATAGAAATTGTTTCATCAGCTAAATTGTTGGGTACCATTGTTTCCGGCGATCTCAAGTGGAACTTACATATAGACATGATCTGCAAGAAAGTAGCATCGCGTCTCTATTTCCTTCGACAACTCAAACGAGCAAAATTACCGATCCATGATTTATTGCTATTTTATAAAACATGTATATGTCCCGTTGCTGAATACGCGAGCCCTGTCTATCACAACGCACTGCCACAGTACTTGTCAGATCTATTAGAAAGACTACAAAAGCGGGCACTGCGCATTCTGTATCCTGATCTTCCCTACATCCGGGCCCAAGAGATATCCGGAATAACTTCTCTACGTAAAAGAAGAGAGGTGGCAAGTGAGCTTCTCTTCCAACAAGTTGTGCAGAACGAAAATCATAAACTACATAATCTGTTACCACCCAGAAACAATAGTAATATTGGTACTAGGCGAAAACGTTTCTTCCAATTACCAAAACAAACAGATTGAAGAATAGTTTTATAATGAATAATTCTTATAATTATTATTAACGTAAATAATAACAATAGATTCGACTATTCTTAGAAGTTGAACTAATGTACATTAGTAGTCTTAATATTAATATTTTAGAGTTTTTATAAAAATACCGAACAGAACTAATAAGTTAAATTTTAAAGTTTATATGATAGTTTGCTAGAATCAGTATTGTAAAAATGATCGTAATTCAGCTTTCGGGGCTGCAATGATCTATTTTAATAAAATATCTATCTATCTATCTAGGCTCGCCAACAGCATTCTCCTCTCAGTTCTTCAATCAGTGTTTTGCTTGCCTGCAAGGCATTGTCTATACTTCATTTCCTCCTGGTGCATACGATACATGGACTGTCGGTCACTGGGTAACAATAAATCAACTTCAGTTCTATTGGTTGGCAGGGCTTTATCCACACACTTTTGCTGAGCCCTGTTTTAGAAGATTCCGTTATTTTATGCATGAATGTAGCACGTTTGTAGGGGCAAAGTCCCTGAAAGCTTTTGCTATTTCAGCATCTTAGATTATGTTGCCGTCACATATGTAATCTTATGCAAACATTGTGCAATACCAAAGAGACCTTTTCTGCGGCTTTTTCACTCTTCCAGCTCAAGGTTGTGTAAATTTTAGATTTTAGTTCGAAAAATTTACTTTCTATTTGTAATATTTGTTATTCTTCAATTATCCCATTCCATTTTGTGCTGATTTGATCGAAATTGTTATGCGAAATCCAAACATGCATGCCATCTAAGCATACAAGATACAAAATATACGATAGAGGTAGCTTTATAATGTAAACATGTTTGAAAAAAAAAACCCAGCTCAAACTCAGGTGCATTAATGCATGGCTCCAATTTTGTAAGGAGTGGGGAAATAGGAAAATTTTTTAAAAATTAATTAAAAATTAACAAAGCACACTATGACTCTCATTTTTGGGTGAGATGTTGGAAATCAACTGCCGATATTTTTCAACTATTTGGTTTCCATGGAAACTGGTCATGTGACAAGATATAAGCGGTGATAATGGAAATTAACTTAATGTTTTAAAATACGGCTTGTCAACACACTAAACATTCATAGATATGTACAAAAATATTATCACGGAACCTTTTACTCTTATACTGCATTACTGTAATTAGAAACTTGAAGATTTTGCCACAGATATGAAAATATTGCTATGAATACAACAATGTCTCGCACAATGTCAATATGATTTGCAATAAAACGATCGTTCCAGATTACAATGCTTACAATTCTGGCTGTACTCTGGACAAAATCTACGTATTAACGACCCACATTAACGTTGTCTTATGTGTCGGCAAGTCCAACGCGTTTTTCGTGTGATGAATTCGCGCACGCCATAAACATTATAGGCCCCTGCCGTGAAACTAAATATTATGAAATACAAATACACAGACAATGGCTAACACACTGCAACTAATAGTATGTGGTGCATTCAAAGAATATGCAAGTAACAGAGAGAATAATATGCACAGAAGTACAATATGATAAGTACATATGCTCATTTATATATTGAACAGAATATTCGACACAAGTCTGAGCCTTTATATGAAAGGATATTATATTTCAACAACAACATTTATTGCGCCCTTAAGAGTTTTAAGAGAAATATGTCACACTAAAACTAGTAGTAAAACATCACAACCCCAAAAAAGTTTGAACCAGCCATATGCTGGGTACTTATTTGTATTTCAAATATTTTTCTGTGCGTGGGAAACTAAAGAGAAAACACAAATCAATGTTGAATAATTCAGACATAAAAACCTGCAATAGCGAGCTTTATATATTAAAGTTCAAAGGTCGCCGCATATCGCATATGATATATTATACTATACAACGGCCAATTGTACAAGAAAAACTAATAATTTACTATCCCTGCTGGTTGCTATAATCTAACATGATCCAACAGCTCATATTTATTCAATTTCAGTTTCATTCGAACGCTAAAACGCACTAAAATAGCAACACGCTAGATATGTTTAATCACGTGCGCAACTCGCGAGGAGATATCAAGTCAAGCGTGGGCAGATTCAAGCAACAGCCAAGCATTAATCGGCCTGAGAATAACCCTGTTTCTTGGAATTTCAAAAACTAAAGTGAGTGAAAATGATTTTTGTTGTTTTTTCTTTTCGTTGGGGGAAAGATTCAGCTTAAAAACTCAATCCAAGATGGAGTTTTGACCTCTGTTTACCAGAGGTAGGTTGGTGCTTGGATAAAGTACTGGTTGGTTGGAACCAGCTGTTTCTGTAGCTTCATAAATTGGATCCAGATAAGGTGGAAGTAATGAATGATCACCAGTAAGTTGTACCGACAGATTTTGCCCCAAGGTCGTGGATCACCTCATTCAATTCATGAGCATTTTGCATCTTATTTCTTCTGGTCAGTAGTTGATCAGCATAGCTGGCCAATGAACGTGCCAACTGTTTCACTGATGGTTTCAGGCTTGTCCATTCTGACCGGTTCCAGAATGAATGCTGAAGAATCACAAACAGGCTCTGGAAGTCTGTCAGAAGTCTGTCAGTGAATTGACTTGTCGTTTATGATACTTGCACTTTTGTGGTTGATTATAGACTTTAAAATTGTTAAAAGCCTCTGAGATGTGACAGCTACATTCATACTGTGTTGACAGGGAACCATCAATGTACCACAACACATCTTGCAATACGTTAAGGGTTTAAGTTGCAGTTCCTCCATGTACTTCATCTGCCTTCCACACCAATTATTTTGATTCAAAGAATGAACTTAGGCCATTATTCAGTTGATCTAGTTTGTTTTTAATGATCAAGGGTGGAGGAAAATTTACAGTGTCACATGATGCTTGAGTGTCCATTAGTATTTCAAATGCATTCACTACTGGCTGAGCTTCTGCAGCCATGCAACATTTTACATAGTACTTAATGTAGTGCCCAAATGCAGATATAACATCACATGTTGTTAAACCGAGGTTATCCAGAGATTCCTACTTGTCCTGCTCAATTGCACAGTGTTCTTTGTCAGTTGTCAGTCTTTGTTTTAACAATCTGAAATATATTATTAAATGGTTAACTAATTACAATCTGCAGCTACTGACATTAGAACTATTAAAGTACAAATTGCTTTTATATTTGGCCTCTGACCTGGAAAGCTGTAAAAACCCATATAAACAACCTATTTTTAATCAGGTCTCTTTTCAGATTAGTTTCTCCGATAATGTACTTAGTATTGAACACATTGATTGAGGACACAGGTTTTTTGCATTAGGGATATGCATGTTAATATCACATTGTAGCTTTTTTTCATTACCAATATACAGGTTTATGTCATATTATTTTTATTACCAAGCCTCACTTTGGCACCAAGAGAACATGTAGCATCAAATCGAGGCTTAGTGGAGAACAATAGAATGACATATAAAACCCACATAAATCTCCATCCTCGTTCCCACAGTTCTTTGGCTGCCTGCGTTACCACCTATCCTGGTGTTTGTTTTATATCGATACTTGCATTCCATTGGCCATTGCTGATCGAGTGGCCAATGAAATCTCTCTTCTGGATCAGGAGCCTCATTTCAGGTTCTATGTGGGTGATGAAACTGTTCGGATGGCAGCAGGAGAATCTTTTAGGGGTTAGATTAGGGTTAGTTTTCAGGGTTAGAGTTGGGTTTAGTGTTTATAGCTTTTAAAGCGTTGTTGGACCCTTAGCCAGGAGGCAAGAAAGTCTGGTGCCGGACCTATAACCATGGCGTATTAACCAACACTAAGTTCTTTGTATGTTTGCATGGCGAAAAATATAATAGTTTTGTTTGTGGAAACACCAGGTAAATTTATTACTGCAAAGCTTTCGATCCGTAAGCCCGGATCTTTATCAGTGCTAATAATATGAAGCACTATTATTATTACACATTATTATTACATATTATTATTACATATTATTATTACATATTATTATTATATTTATTACATATTATTATTATTACATTATGATTAAATGGCAGCATAATTTAAACTAGTACCTTGCCCATTATTCTGTCGTTTAATACAGATTACAAACACTAAGAATCACTTGTATGTATTTTTCTTCTTTATCAATTAAGAAAAAACTGCAAACACATAAGTCATGGGACATGGAAGACTATTTCCCTAGAAGGTCCCAACTTCCAGGGATCCTTTAAGTATAATATTGCAAAGGTATGCATATATACAGGGAAAATTCTAAATTTACATTAATGGATTTTTGAATGTAAAACTGAACTATTTAGCTTTCCCATATGGTAAATTAAAAACCACACTGTTTAATATTTACTAGGAAAATACCATTAATGGTAAACATTTTTTTTGCCCGATTTACCATATTAGGAAATCTCTAATAACCAATAATGGTTTAGTTTTTACATTGTAACATTTTTTATTATGAATGTAAAAACTAAACCCACTATTAACTTTCTTTTAAATATTCAATGTCATAGGCTGGCAACAGTAATAGTGGAAGTGATGTGAGATTTAATGGTGCTATTACTGATACCAAACCTGTTGTTATTGACTTGACTAGTAGTCAAACTCCAATGAAAAAGAAGGTAATTTACATAAAGTTAACTCTTGTTAGCTTGAGTTAACCCTTGTTAATTAGTAATTCTTTTCAGTAGGATGAATGGATTGTGTCTGTGACGTAGAGAGAAAACAGAACTGTTGTGCCTAAAACTGATCAGCATATATCTGGGAGGTGGATAGTGCTTTTGATGCAATTTGATTGGTTGCCCAGCTCCGTATATCCTTGCATTATTCACTGGTGAATAATTGTTAATCATTACATACCAACTGTAACAGTTGATGTCGGAGCATATAACATGAAAGTCACAAAATTCAACTGTTTCGTGGCAAAAGCTCTAAGCAGTTTATTCAATGGTGAATAATATAATTGTTAAGTTATAAAGTAAAAATTATTGAAAGTCTCAGATCCACAAAACATGCTGTTTCTTGAAAGTCCCAGTCAATAAGTATACAAAACATGTAAGCGCCCTGGTATTCAAGGACTATAACCATGTTTCATGACAAACTGCTTCTTCAGATTTACGAATCACCTTGAATCAAGGTGATTCGTAAATCTGAAGAAGCAGTTTGTCATGAAACATGGTTATAGTAGTGCATGAAAAACATGCTTTAACTGAATGAAACCGGACATTTTACAGTAAGACTAGCACTTAAGCAGATGAACCATTTCTTAATTGTTTCATAACCAACCCAATGTCTTGTACCCACCCGCCCCTTTCTGAGACTGGAAAAGATGTTCCTCTGTTTTATCCATCTCCCTCTAGTAGATTATGACCAATCCCTTACTATCATATAAATCTTGCCTCGCAAAGTGTGCAACATGTTTTTTGAAAAAAATTCTAATGATTTGATTTTTCAGAATTTCAAAGGTAAAGAGCGAGTTTGTCCAGCAGTTCTTCTGAAGAAAGTGATGGAACAACCAGAAAGATGTCAATTTGTACATGGGACAATGTCGAAATGCAGTCAGTTCACCAACTCCCAGAGGGGATAGATGGATATTGACCACATATGAAATTAAACCGTTTTCTACAGGTGAAATGAAATCTGCAAAAGATGGAAGTGGAATAACTGTCCAAAAGCTGGAAAGGTCCCAGTTGTGTTCGATTTTCAGACTGTAAAAGCTCTTATCATTGTAAAGCAGATGGCTGCCCTTTTAAGATTCAGTACGGGGTAACAAACACTTCCCAGTTTGAAAAAAAGCGTGATAAGAGGATCACATGTAATAGTCCGTGTGTTGTGACCCGATATCATTCACTTTCATTAAGCATGTCTTAGAACTGAAATATTTTTACGGGAACTAACACTTTCGAACACGCTGAGTTCAAATCCGAAAAGTTCCCACTCCGTAGACCCGCAGTTTTTTCACAAAATGCTATTTTATCTTCACTAATTTCACAGCAAATTTTTTCATTGTTCAACGATACGGATCGATGATGCTACAAGATTATGTCACTCAAAAGGACCAATTTCAATTAACAATTCGTCCTTTTAACAAAAGATCGGTTTTGCTCGAATCATTTTGAGTTATGCAATCTTATGCGTGTTGGACGTAAACAACATATTTTGTCTACAACTTTGAGAAGGTACAGATAACGCTTTCTAAAACCCTCAGTTCTAGAGATATCTCTATAAAATCACAAGGACATTAATGTCAAGTCTTTTAGCTATGTTACTGGCCAGAAAAGTAACTAATTTAACGCGATCGAGATATTTAAAACAAAAGTAACGCAAAGCCAACGTAACGGCAAAGACAACGTTAAAACGAAATATTGTCGAATGCTTGCAGGTAGAAGACTTACGACAGGATCAATCTTAAATAACCTTAAGCTATAGGAATAAATGTTCACATCAAAGACAAAGATCAGTCACAAAGTATAAAATATGCTCTGTAAACTTACCGCGAAGTGGAGAAATGTGTGCATGAGCTGTTTATTCGATGATTTCGACGAATATAGAAGCCCTCTTTCCAATAATACTCGCTTATCGCACAGTATAACACCAACTGATATAATAGTTCAAATGCAATGATAAGTTATCTCTTGAATTACGTCTTGGAAACCGTGTTGGAAATTTCCATGCTGATCCATTACATATAGATTCCCGTTTTATATCTTTGTATAAAACATTTTGATCCCATGTAAGGAATTATGTCTCAGCCCAGAGACATAGCCCAAAGATGTGACATTAAAGTCCTTTTGATTTTATAGAGATAGTTCCAGAACTAAGAATATTATAAAGAATTATCTGTACCTTCTCAAAGTTGTAGACAAGATATGTTGTTTACGTCCAACACGCATAAGATTACATAACTCAAAATGATTCGAGCAAAACCGGTGTTTTGTTAAAGGAAGAATGGTTAATAAAATTGGTCCTTTTGAGTGACATAATAGTGTATCGTCATCGATCCGTGACGTTGAACAATGAAAAAATTTGCTGTGAAATTAGTGAAGATAAAATAGCATTTTGTGAAAAAACTGCGGGTCTAGGGAGTGGGAACTTTTCGGATTTGAACTCAGCGTGTTCAAAAGTGTTAGTTCCCGTAGAAGTATTTCAGCTCTAAGACATGCTTAATGAAAATTGTTTTCTAGGCACATTTCGAGGTCACAACACACAGACTATAAAGGATGTGGCAGAGAAGAATTTGTTCCCTGCAGCGCCCACTGGTACTTGAGCTATGCAAAAAACAAGGTAATAGTGTATCACATAGGGCAACACACATGTCCCACTACCTCTATAACCGAAAAAAAAAGATGCCAAGAGTATTGAGCAATTGGTTCGTAATAATCCCAACATGAAACCTCCTGAAGTTCAGTCTGCCATTGTTCTAACCACATTTCAGCAGCAGATGGACTGGGCTACTATTAAAAAGAAGCCGCTTCAACAATTGATAAGAAACGGATAAGTATCATTAAACAAAAGGTGAAGGGCAATATTCAGGCATAATTTTGAGGCAGTCATGGCTTTCAAAGAGTATTACGACAAGAAAGATACATTATATGTGTATAAAATTAACGATAGGAGAGGCAATCCAGACAAGCCCTCCTTTGTGTTCAAGATGAGAATTACAAAGGTAAAAATGGCAGTAAGTATGGATGCCGATGAAGAGCATGTTTTGAACAGTAGATATTGTTTGTTTGATGGCAAGCACAATCATTGTCCACATTACATTATGTTAACCACAAGCATTTATCATCCCCTTGCTTCATAGGCAGATACCTCTTGCAATCATGGAAGTTGAGAAAGAAAGCACCACAAACATTAATGTAGCTAAAAAGCCATCGGAATTCAATCCAATAGGCTGGCGTACTGATATGGCTAGAACAACCTGTAAATTCCTGAATTTATAAGGTTTTTGGTGATTCTGTTCAAATCAAGTCTTGTGAATTTATAATAAATTCCTGAATTTATAAGGTTTTTGGTGATTCCGTTCAAATCAAGTCTTGTGAATTTATAATAAATTCCTGAATTTATAAGGGTTTTTGGTGATTCTGTTCAAATCAAGTCTTGTGAATTCCATTTCAAGGATCACAGAAACAAAAAGGTTAAAAATGGGACCCAGATGGTGCAGGTGAATTAAAAATCCTGTGTAATGATCTACTGAACAGCACAACAGAAGATGCACACAATTCAGCCAAGAAAAAGATGGATGAATCATTACAGTGAAAGACAGAATTTTTTCAGAAAACTGGGTGTCATAGTGGCATGCAAGGCGTCGCTTTATATTCTGCATGTTTGCACCTATGGATGCACCAAAGATGAATCAAGCAGAGGTTATCCTAACCTGCGATCAGGCCTATAAATGAATACAAACCTTAACAAAAGTCCATACTGTACAACCATCTTTTGGTTGTAAATAATATGGTTGTAAATCTCATTGGTCTATGAGACAAAAGATTTTTCAACCTGTCATTTGATTGCTTGGTGCTAATTAGATTATACTATTGTTGTTGATATATTTTATAGTGATCAAAACTATGATTAGATTGTTGTTGTATGAAATTTAAATTTCTCCTGCGACAATTTCATTGAATACTAAATATAAACTTTGCTGTGTGTGGAAAGTGATTGAATTAAGGTTTGTTAGGTTAAGGTTATCCATGCAGGATGGACCCATCTAGACAGCAAACTTGTCACTACTTGAGGTCTGTAAAGCAGACATACATGACACTTTACTGTTAGATGTAAAATTAACAAAGTATCAATTTGCATCTTCATAGGAGGGATCTAGTCCTTCCTATGAAGAAAGGAAATCGATCAAGGATGTTCCTCCTGAAATGTTTAAAAGATTGGTAACTTCTTTCAGGAATGTGCTCAAATACTTTGCCTTGTAGTAAATCATGTACCATGGACCATTCCCCAATTAACCAAACTTTTGAACTCAACAAGTCTAGACAAAAATTTCGTCACAGCTTGAAAGAGCATCACAAAATTAGTAATATTCCAAAGTTTCGTTGCGATATTTTGTAAAATGCGGATAATATAGCCTTGCGAAATTTGCAATTTTCAGTCATTTTAGATTACAAACGGGAAACGGTTACCACTTCTGTGCGTAATACAAAATGACTGAAAATCACAAACTTCGCAAGGCTATATTATTCGCATTTTACAACATTTTGCAACAAAACTTTGGAATATTACTAATTTTGTGATGATCTTTCATGCTATAATGGAATTTTGTCTAGCATTGTTGAGATCAAAATTTTGGTTTATTGGCGAATGGTCCATTGACTTTACTGTTTCAACACTATTCTTCTCACCATGGTAACCACTGTGGTGGGATTTGTTGCATTCTTCATGGTCAGAATCAATCACTTTATTCATTATTGTCATTCTTTATTCACATCTCTGTGCAGTTGCATGAGTTTGCCACCCATTATTTGAAGTAGCCTCTTCAGGTCTAGTTTTAGATGTTCCAGGTGAAGATCCAGAGGAATGTTTCCTGCTATTCTACCTTTTTTGTTGACAAACCGAAGTGTCGCGGCAAGTTTGTAAATTCATTCATTTATTAGCGATTCCCAGCAGCCTTTCGCGCTTGTATTTGACTATTCCACTTTGCCCAGGGGACAACCTTAATTGAAATAGCTGTATGCATATAAAGTCATACATATTTACAAACAATTTTATAAAGTTACATAAGCTATTAACACACAACAGTTTTTTTAAGAGAGTTCATATTTTTAGTTGAAACATAATCTAGTATTTACTTAGAAGCTCCGTTTGTAGATTCTTTTTGAATTGATTTTATATTGAAACTAACTTTTTATATTGTCCTGAATTGAATTCCATACATGTTAAAGAGACCATAATTTTTTTCTGTGTTCGTGTTGTGTACTCAGGTGAATATGATGCTTGTGATGTTACTCTGAGTGTATATCCACACCGGGCGAGCTTGAAAAATATGCCCGGCCACTGTGGGATTCGAACCTACGACCTTTGGAATACTAGCCCAATGCTCTTCCAACTGAGCTACGCGGTCAGGACGGTTCGAGTAAGTAATATTTCGGAACAGAATCTAGTTCCTTCGATACCAATGTAATCTAGTAATATGATTTTTTTCTGTGTTGGTGTTGTGTACTCAGGTGAATATGATGCTTGTGATGTTACTCTGAGTGTATATCCACACCGGGCGAGCTTGAAAAATATGCCCGGCCACGGTGGGGTTCGAACCTACGACCTTTGGAATACTAGGTCGAACCTACGACCTTTGGAATACTGGTATCGAAGGAACTAGATTCTGTTCCGAAATATTACTTACTCGAACCGTCCTGACCGCGTAGCTCAGTTGGAAGAGCATTGGGCTAGTATTCCAAAGGTCGTAGGTTCGAATCCCACCGTGGCCGGGCATATTTTTCAAGCTCGCCCGGTGTGGATATACACTCAGAGTAACATCACAAACATCATATTATTCACCTGAGTACGCAACACCGACACAGAAAAATCATATTACTAGAATACATTGGTATCGAAGGAACAAGATTCTGTTCCGAAATGTCACTTGCTCGAACCGTCCTGACCGCGTAGCTCAGTTGGGAGAGCATTAGGCTAGTGTTGCGAAGGTCGTGGGTTCGAATCCCACCGTGGCCGGGCATATTTTTCAAGCTCGCCCGGTGTGGATATACACTCAGAGTAACATTCACAAATATCATATTCACCTGAGTACACAACACCAACACAGAAAAATCATATTACTAGATTACATTGGTATCGAAGGAACTAGATTCTGTTCCGAAATATCACTTACTCGAACCGTCCTGACCGCGTAGCTCAGTTGGAAGAGCATTGGGCTAGTATTCCAAAGGTCGTAGGTTCGAATACCACCGTGGCCGGGCATATTTTTCAAGCTCGCCCGGTGTGGATATACACTCAGAGTAACATCACAAACATCAGACCATAATTTGTTCTCACTTTTGGAAGATAATAAAACTGTTTGCATAAGATCGAGTATCGTAACTATGAACTTGATTTACTGCAATAACAAATGTATTAAAAATAGTAAATAAGCAATATAGCAATATGAAATGTAATAAGATCATTGAGCTCAATGATTTCCAATTTTTTGAATAAGGGACTTGAATGCTGATCAAATTTTGAAAACGTTATAATTCGCATTACCTTTTTCAGCAGCAGAACATGTGGTTGGAGGTTTGTCTGGTAAGTACAGCCCCAAAAGACCACATTGTATATTAAAAATGGATAAATTAAAGCATTATAGAGGTTAGTAAAGATCTTTGTATTTTTTTTATTACTTAATTAATAATATGGCTAGGAGCCATAGATATCTTATATACACTAGATAGTGCATCTAATTATTCTGCAATTCAAAAATTGAAGCCGTGATTGCAGTCTCAGGTCGTTCCCATGAAATGAGAAGATTCGTATGTTTTCGATTTCTTAAACAGGGAACTTAAACATTAAGTTAACCCTATTCCAAATACGTTTTTAAACTATTCAAATCATGAAAGTTATTGTTGTTTTTAAGCGTTTATTAGCAAGTGGGAACGACCAACATGGCCGCCATCTATTCAAATGGGGGAAACCGCTGGAATATTCTTGGCTTCAATTTTACTAAAAGAGATGCGCTATCTAGTGTATATAAGATATCTATGCTAGGAGCCTACCAGAAACCTTAACAGGTTTTTATTTAAGACCCCTATAGTTATAACTATATATGAAAGTAAAAGTTTATAACATACAGTCAACCAAATTTAAGTAAGATATATATATATATATATATATATATATATATATATATATATATATATATATATACTATCATGTTTAGATGCCACTTAATTATACAAATTTACTGTGTTATTCCATAGTCGGTTGCAATGTTTGAATTTTCTTGTTCAAACTTCAATGTTCTTGTTGCCACATCGGAAAAACTAGTAAGAACTTGTTAAAAACATTCTAAAAGAGATTAGGTTGTTTTATTTATTTCAAAATCCTAAATTATTTCCAGAAATCATCAAAACAACCTTACGTCCATGCATCGTCCGAACGAGCACCATCGAATCGGGCCGTAATGTAAACATAAATTAGCAAGTTGACAGCAAGCTAAAACATGCTTCAGCCGGTGTTATAATGCATTTGAAGTCAGCAAGTGAATTTAAAATAGTGTATAGGAAGCCATTATTACTTGAATTTTACAATCAATTGCCAAAATGCCTCAATTTGCTTTTTTTGTTGACAAAATAAGTTATTTTCATCAAGTACCGGTTTGTTATTGCATCTCAAATTTTTGACTCTCCAATCGCAATCACTTAAAATATTATTCACAAACTTCTGGATTATATTTACGAAACAACCCACCGTTGAAAAGCTGAATGTCTAAGCTTTAAAATGAATGTAAACCTGAACGTTTTGCTTTAATATTCGTTTCGAAATTTATATTTGAAGCGAGGACTCCGTTTTTTATGATACACCCTGTATATATATATATATATATATATATATATATATATATATATATATATATATATATATATATATATATATATATATATATATATATATAAGTAATAAAAGAAAAGAAAGTAATGAAAATCCATTTACAAAGTACATATATAATATTATAATGGTCTAATTGTTTGTGACCTCTAAAAAGTGTTCTTTTATCACATTTTTAAATATGATATAAGAAGTGATATTTTTCAAATTAGAGTCGCGTTCATTCCATATATCAACACCTTTATAAGAAAGAGTGTGCTTTACGTAATTTGTTCTTTTATAGGACTTGTATGATGTCCGGTTGTTCTCATAGCAATTAAACACATACAATTCAAAATGAATTTAAAAAACTTAAAATTTAAAACAAAATTTAAAATGAAACAAAGCAAAATAAAAAAAAACTAAACTAAACTGAAAAAAATGAAATGAAAATGGAAAAATAATGGAAAAGTTTTTCAAAAATAAAAAATTCTTAACATACGATTTTCATTTTAAGACAAAAAGCGGTATGTAAATGTGTGGCCTATTGTTCTCATAGCAAAACTAAAATCAATTTCAAAATCAAATGTTGAGACGGCCTATCGTTGTCATAGCCAGCACAATTACCGGTCAGCAGTATGTTTAAAAACATTAAGAAAATTCAAAGATGGCGGACTAGAAAGCCAAACGTTCATGGTGCACCCACTGAGCTATAATATATCTGGAGGAAGTGCTCCTATCTCTCTTCAGTCAAGCAAGTGAAGCCAAAAACATGGCGGATTTTCACATTTGCTGATGCCAGAATGACGCCACTGGTCCTAAATCCTCATGGTAATTACCACTGAGCAAGGCTCATTTTGAGCCCGCTACCACTTTCACATCCCCCTGATTTTCGAAAAAATATTTTAGCTTTTTGTTTTGAAGTTTGCCTCGCCGTACATTGCCTTCTCTTCGACATTTTAACATTTGTTTGAGCTGCACAAGTGGCAGGAATCATCCTGGCTAGTGAAGACAGGGAACGAATACTCAATAAATTATGGAAAGACGTTTATTTGTAAAGATAAAAAAATATGTTTATATGCATGTTCAATAGTATAAATTTGTGATAGAGCACTGCCAGTTCTAGTTCAAAACAAAGCGAAATAAACAGCCTATTTGTAATGTGTAGTGGACAATTTTAGCAACTGATGTATACAATGAGGTTGCCAAAACTACGTGAAACAGTCTTCCCCGAAAGAAAATGGTTGAAATTTCAGATTTTAGTTTCATTTGTTATTTCAAATTTTACTATATAAAATGCCAGTTGACCACGGTCTGCTTCATGATACTACTTTAATAGGAAAATTAAAGTGCTTTCTATTAATATATCAGTATACCTAAAGAGGAAGACCTTTTCAAGCCAGAACTGTCATGGCTTTGAATGATTTAATCTATGTAGTACATATTTAACTGGCCACTGATGACTATGAAAGTCTATATCAAGATTAAAAATGTGACATTTATAAGTAGATGATTGACATTAAGTAGTTATGACATAATGGACATAGATATATATGCAGGAGACAATTAGATAAAGGGGAGATAGACTCAACATGGCGGGTGTCTAAACAAACACAATATTACATGGTGTCAGGATGGAATACATGAAACCCCCAAATATCTTACATTTAGAAGGCAACTTAGCTGAAAACTGGCGAAAATGGGAACAACAATTCAATTTGTTTTTAGTAGCGAGTGGAATCGGCGAAAAATCTGCAAAAGTTCAAGCGTCTACATTGCTGCATGTGATAGGAGAAAATGCGTTGGAAGTCTATAACACTTTCACATGGGCGAGCGAAGGCGATGCCATGAAAGTAGATAAAATAATGGAAAAGTTTGCCGCGTATTGTAATCCAAGAAAGAATATAACTTACGAACGGCACGTTTTTAACACGTGAAATCAGAGAGCAGGTGAGACAATTGATCAATACGTGACAGATTTGCGCACGAAAGCTAAGTCTTGTGAATTTGGTACCCTTTGCGACGGGTTAATTCGAGATCGAATAGTCTGTGGAATAATTGATGATAAATTACGTGCAAGACTATTGCGGGAAAGCGATTTAACGCTTCAAAAAGCCATTGACATTTGCCGCGCCAACGAAATCAGTTTAGAACAAGCCAAATCTCTTACAAACGCGACGGATGGCTTGACAACAGAAGTAAATGCCCTAAAGAAAGATCACCAAAGTGAATGCGATATGAACAGTAACAGGAGATCTCAAGATCGAAGGCGAAGTCCGTTCAACCGTACATCTAAAACGTCAGCGACAACATGTACAAGGTGTGGCGGTAAACACGATGAACAACAGAAATGTCCAGCTATAGGAGCTACTTGTCATAAGTGCAAAAAACCTAACCACTACTCGAGAATGTGCAGGACTAGAACAAATGAAAAGAACGTTCATAGTCACGAAGCCGAAGCGAGCACACGAAATAGCGACAGTGAAAGCAATGATAGTTTTTTCATTGGCGCCATACACGCCCAAGACGAAAACAAAGAATGGACGACATCCCTAAAAGTAAACAGTACAAATGTTATGTTCAAAATCGATACTGGAGCCGAATGCAATGTGATTTCGAAAAAGACGTATGAGGAACTTAGTAAAACCCCCTTAGAAAAATCGCGAACAAAGCTCGGAGCGTTTGGAGGGCAAAAGTTAAAAACAATTGGAAAATTTACAACGTTATGTACATATCGTGACAAATATTGGCCAATTGAGTTTCAAGTCGTAAATCATGAAGTTCCAAATATACTTGGACTTACAACTTGCCTTCAGTTAAATCTTGTAAAACGAGTGCTAACTATCGACAAAAAAGAATGCGTCGAGTCGACGTCCACCGCACCTGAGGATATTTTCGAACAGTACAGTGATGTGTTTACTGGGTTAGGTTGTGTTAAAGGCGTAGTACACCACATTGAAACTGACCCTACAGTAAAACCGGTAATTCACCCACCGCGTCGAGTTTCAGCACCCTTGCGACAAAAAGTTAAGGACGAACTGGATCGTATGGAAAGTCTCGGAGTAATAGAGCGAGTTCAACAGCCAACGGAATGGGTAAATAGTTTAGTAACTGTCGTAAAACCCAATGGAAAAATACGATTGTGTATTGACCCGAAAGACTTAAATCGCGCAATTAAACGTGAACAGTATCCTATGAAAACTATAGAAGAAGTTATCTCGCGAATGCCGAATGCCAAATTCTTCTCGAAGCTTGATGCTACCCAAGGCTACTGGCAAGTACAACTTGATGACGAAAGTGCAACGAAATGTACATTTAATACACCGTTTGGTCGATACCGTTTTCATCGTCTTCCATTCGGAATTTCGTCTGCACCGGAAGTGTTTCAGCGTATTATGTCTCAAATTTTTTATGGCAATGAAGGAATCGAAGTTATTGTCGATGATTTATTAATCTGGGGTGAAACTCGAGAACAACACAATGAACGTTTGAAACAAGCATTAGAAAGAGCTCGCGAAGCTGGAGTGAAACTTAACAAGGGTAAATGTGAAATTGGACTACAACAAGTAACTTATATTGGACATACGTTGAGTTCAAATGGATTAAAACCGGATGTGAACAAAGTCGAAGCTATCAAAACAATGGATACACCGACAGATAAGGCAGCAGTCCAGAGATTTCTTGGGATGGCAACGTACCTTGCTAAATTTATCCCAAAGTTCTCACAATTAGCTGCTCCCCTGCGAATGCTACTTGAAAAGAACACGGCATGGCACTGGGATGTGCAGCAACAAAACAGTTTCGAAGGATTAAAGCAAACAATAACAAATGCACCTGTTTTGAAATATTATGATGTAAACAAACATGTAACTATTCAAGTTGATGCTAGCCCTGATGGGTTAGGAGCTGTCCTTTTACAGGGCGAGCGCCCAGTCGCATATGCATCACGGTCATTAACACAAACACAACGAAACTATGCGCAGATAGAAAAAGAGATGTTAGCTATCACATTCGGTTGCGAACGATTTCATGACTATATTTTTGGAAAGAAATCAGTTACGGTACACACAGACCATAAACCTTTAGAGTTTATTTTTAAGAAGCCCCTTTATCATGCGCCACTAAGGCTCCAAAGAATGATTTTGAGAACACAAAAATATTCCATAAATGTTCAGTATAAACCAGGGAAAGAGCTGCTCATTGCAGACACCCTATCCAGGGCCTGCCAGCAAAGCAACAACAGCATTAATGAGCTGACAAGGGATTTCGAAGTGAATGTTATAGCCTTGCTACCAATGTCAAAAGAGAAAGTTCAACAACTTCAGTCAGCAACGAAGGTTGATCAAGATTTGAAAGAACTGAATAGCTGTATCAAAGAAGGCTGGCCAACAGACAAATCCAAAGTACCAGAAGGTGCAAAACCATACTGGAACTATCAAGACCAAATAATCGAACAAGCAGGACTATTGTTCAAAGGAAATAAAGTCATTGTTCCACGTGTGCTACGGTCAGAAACGCTCAAGATAATACACAATGCTCATCTTGGCATTGAAAAATGCAAACGGAGAGCGCGGGACATTATTTTGGCCTGGTATGAATGCCGAGATAGAAGACCTTGTCAAGAAATGCCAGGTTTGCCAAGACCACCAGGTAAGAAACATGAGAGAACCCCTTCATCCCCTAGACAGTCCTTCAAGACCTTGGGAAATAGTTGCAACAGATCTATTTGAGCTGGATGGATCTTCATATCTGATTCTTGTTGATTCCTATTCTGGGTTTTTTGAAATTGCTCAACTGACTGGAACTAAAAGTTCCTCTGTGATAACCCATTGCAAGTCCCAATTTGCCCGTCATGGTATACCGGATACATTAATATCAGATAACGGACCACAGTTTGCCAGCCATGAATTCGCCACATTTGCACAAGAGTATGGATTTCAACATACTACATCAAGTCCCCATTTTCCACAATCCAATGGGTTAGCCGAAAGATATGTACAAACAGCCAAGAACCTCTTAAAGAAAGCAAAGCAAGCAGGCACCGACCCCTATCTCGCCCTGTTAGCATATCGCAACACCCCAGTTAATGAAAAATTGGGATCCCCAACCCAGAGATTATTTGGTAGAAGAACAAAAACCACCTTACCCACTTCGACCACACTATTAGAACCAAAGATAATTGAACCCAAAATAGTCAAAGAAACCCTCCATAAGAACAAAGAAAAACAAAAACAGTACTTTGACCATCACACTAAAGAGCTTTCAGTCCTTCAACCAGGTGCTAATGTTCGGTATGAGACCAACACTGGACTAAAAGCAGCAGTAGTGATTGAAAAGAGAAAAGAGCCCAGATCGTACATGATCCGTACATCTAATGGGTTCGTATTGCGAAGAAACCGGAAACATCTATATGAATCTACTGGCATGAACAGATTGGAGAACTGTGATCTAGATGATGACAACATCACCGAGTACCAACCTCCACACCAAATTGCCGTGGGTAGGCAGCAAAATGGGTTAGAACCTGGACAAGCACCACAACCACCACAATTGTACACAACTCAAAGCGGTCGTGCTAGTCGTAAACCAGAAAGATTTCAAGCCAACTAAATGGAAAATAGGAAAAGAACAAAGGAACACTAAAATAGCAACATTGAAACTTTTTAGAGAATAAATCTAACAGTTGACATTATATAGCACACTAATAACATTAGAAAACTGTTTATGATTGACATTTTAAAAAAGACATTAATAGGAACAATAGGTAAACAATCTCCTTCGGGAAAAGGGAGATGTGACATTTATAAGTAGATGATTGACATTAAATAGTTATGACGTAATGGACATAGATATATATGCAGGAGACAATTAGATAAAGGGGAGATAGACTCAACATGGCGGGTGTCTAAACAAACACAATATTACAAAAAATAGGTACGCAGTGCGTACATGTTGCATGCCATCTGAAACTTAGCCTGAATACAGACCTTCGTTTTGCTCGCCCTAAAATTCGATGGGTGGGAGGCGCAAAACGAAGGTCTGATGAAAACATGTCAAAACGTTGTGAAATCTGACCGCCTGGTGGTCGAAATCTGACCACCTGAAAAGATCAGAATATATTTCAACGGTATTCTCAATGCATATACTATGCATATAGTGTAATATTCTAAATATTTTTTGAAGCCGAACGATAAATAGCTAACAGTATCTACCGTCTAAAATTAAAACTAGAGCGAGAGTAGAGCAGACTTGTCAAATACTTCAGCGTTGTGTCATTCCGTTGTAATATAGGCCTATAATACAATAATTTTTACACTATTTACGTTTTGTGATAATCATAATAAAACTGATACAATTATACACATAGGCCTATGTGTCAGTGCAATAGTGCGTTTAAATTTGCATTTCGATAACATAGCACGTACAAAATATTTTATTTAGATTTTAGCATTGTATAGCGGTTTCAAAATGTATAAATTGTAAGAGTTCGGTCCTGTTTGGATGCAATTCAACAATGGGACATGGCCATTGCCAAATTTGCATACGCAGATTTTAGTGCATTATAGAATGTGTTGAAAATGTTGTATTATTACTAGCTGTAACTGTTTGAATGCAAGGGGTAAGAGTACATAAAAACAAAAAACTGCATGGGATTACCAATATTTTTCATATTTATTCAAACGTCTGTAATACAGACTCTTACTTTGTTTACAAACTTTCAATAAGTGAATCGACAACTTTCGTTGTATTTTTAGGTGTTACATGTAAATATGTCAATCATCATCGTTAATTATTGCAAAATGCAAAGTGGGCGGTAGAGCGTTTTGACATAATTTCATCAGACCTTCGTTTTGCGCCTCCCACCTGCAAATTTTAGGGCGAGCAAAACGAAGGTCTGTATTCAGCATAGATATAGGAGATCTAGATTGCTAACGCATACCTAGCGCAGGCGGGGCCTACATGATAAATCCAAGATGGCGGTACAACAGGGCAAAAAGACTATAGATTATATTACGAAAATCAGGATTTTTGCATTTTTTGCTGTCGCATTGTTTCAAAACTTATTCGGTCAAATTTTATGGTAAAGAGAAACTTACCGCGAAGATTTTCAGCATATATATGATTGAATTGGATGAAAAATCGCAAAATTATCCAGCGATAAAAGTTCCTGTGAAATTGTCAGTTGGAGCATTTTATTGGGTCATTCCAGAAAAGATCCATACTCCCCCCACGGAGGAAATTTCTGCCGTCCGGAGGGGGAGGGGAGAAAAAATTGTTTCTGATAATAGTAAATGTGTTAGGACGTCCGAAGGGGGTAAGGGGGTTAACTTCCTATTTCCTCCGTGGGGGTGGTATGGATGTTTTCTGGAATGACCCATTGCCAGAAATATGTGCTATGTTAACATCTAGCCTTGTGAATGGTGTTTTATACTTGCATCTCTCATCATCTGCTCTGTCCTCATAATTATGAAAAATGAACTGCTATGAACCCCCCCCTCCTTGCTTGTTAGAGAAGTAAACTGATGAGAGCACTGGATGAGGGTCTATCATCTATGGTCTGTTATAATTTGCTTTTTATGCAAATAGTGAGCAAAAATTAAAGCAAAACTGTACAAGTTACATATATAGTACTATATCAGTACTATACACAAACTTTTATCGATGGATAATTTTGCGAGTTTTCATCCAATTCAATCATATATATGCTCAAAATCTTCGCGGTAAGTTTCTCTTTACCAAAAAATTTGACCGAATAAGTTTCAAAACAATGCGACGGCAAAAAATGTAAAAATCCTGATTTTCGTAATAGAATTTATAGTCTTTTTGCCCTGTTGTACCGCCATCTTGGATTTATCATGTAGGCCCCGCCTGCGCTAGGTATGCGTTAGCAATCTAGATCTCCTATATCTATGGTATTCAGGCTATCTGAAACTCCAACCTGATACTCAGGGTTTTTACTTCCACTCAGGGTTTTTACTTCCGCTTTAAGTGAAAACCCTGAGTATCAGGTTGCTGAAACTTATGATGCGCTATGGCGCTTATACTGTGCTGAGTGGTTATATTACTACCTTAAAAAATAAGCAGAAACTCAACGTTTCGAGCGAAAGCCCTCCGTCAAGAGTTAGTACCCAAACGGGCCTTCGCTCGAAACGTTGAGTTTCTGCTTATCTTTTAAGGTAGTAATATAACCACTCAGCATTTTCACATTGGTACTACCAACACTGGTACAGACAGTTTTAGTATATGGCGCTTATAACCTTTGGTACAACTGGTGTTAAACTTAAAATATTGATTCAATAAGTTTAATATCAATATATTTATTGAAAAATAGCTACATAGCTATTATGTCAAAATAAGAAAACTTAAGATTCTCACGCGAATTAGCCAACAGTGCAGACTCCAGCAGAAACACGCGAACAGGCAATGTTTTTATAAGCGACCGTTAATAGTTAGTTGCAAGCGACGGTAATAATAACATTAACAAGGTCAAAGTGGGTCAAGGTTTTATCGAAAGTGATTGACTGTTAGATTTCCTTTACAATTTAGCTTTATTGTAACTTTTTAAATTAAAGGTATAAAAACCCGTGGAAACGGTGAATTACTATCATAGATTGAAAATTATTATTTATCATTTTGACGTTTGAGTGATTGAAATGAGTTAACTTGCACTACATCGAATGTCATGTTGAATGTCATGTTGAACCGTATGCGTACTTCACAATGGTTGCTACTTCGTTGTATTGAATTCCAATAGTATTAGCCTACTATTTATAATTCAAATTTTGTTTGATATTTATATTTCATGTCATTTACAAAATGTGCTGTAGTTTTGAAGCTTTGTGCACAATGACCCCGTTTCAGTTTGAGTATATAAAAATCGAGTACTTTGATAGTGTTGGGCTTGATATATATATATAAAATATAAACGCCTCAGTGAATATTAATCTGCAGTGCGAGCACAACGGCTCCAAAATCACAACAAATAACAGAATATAAGGTAAGTTAAAAACAGTAAAGCTTTACCTACCTCGATTTAATTTTTCTAAGGCGCTCAATTATGTAAATTTTCGGCTAACTCAACGAAAACCAGCTTGAAAAGCTCGTCGAAAAAACTCGGTATTTGTCGTATTATACGAATCTGCCATGTGACTGGTACGCTCACTGCCACCGCGACACAAAATTTAGAGCTATATGAAAGTTGCATGCCATATATGGCATGCAACAAAAATTTGGCAGTCAATTGTGCCAACTTCTGTTGAAGCTAGGTTTATATATAAGATCGGGTTTAGAGGCCTGTAACATTTTCTCTAGAAATTGAATGATAGAGTAAAATCAATTTCATATTAATTAACCCACTGAGCTGCAATGCGCCCTACCTATTTTTTATTTGTCTATTAAAATGCCATACGATTTTGCTCGCCAATGGGTGGGTTCAGCAGCTGCAGCTTAATGGTTAAGAACATGAAAATTTTTTATATTTGATGTTGCTAATAATGTATTTTTGTAGGAAAATATCTTACACAAGTGGTTGTTTGCCAGTGACACCAAACCCCAATATTTACATCCTATCCCACCTGAAGTAGGCCTACCTTGTGCGAAACAAATGACAATTTGTGTCACTGTGGGCGAAAAGATTGCATAATCCTTTTTTATTTTAGGATCTATCACACAAGGAGAAAGTCTTAATTCCATGATTTCTACTGGCAAAGATACAGTTGTAATTTTCTTTGGATTTTGAAGATAGACAATGGAACAACTTGGCAAAGTTTTGTTTATTTTTAATAACATGTTTTTACTTTATTCACATTCTAATATGTATATTTCTATAAAATTATTTAATAATTATGCATTATATAATTCATATCCAAATATGATCACCAAGGGGCCAGTTGTACATTTAAGGCTGGGTCGTGCTATCAACTGGATAGTGATTGGTTATTGATTGGTTAAATCCATAAAATTAATAAGTTTGAAATCACAATCCTGCAGAAAGGACTACCCTACCTAATCATACAACAGACTATTGTTAAATATAATGTTCAGGCCTTGTTTTCAGGTTAACAAATGATTTTGATTGTATGAATGTCTATAATATTTTTACTAATTGAAATGATCAGAGATTAGCTGGCAGTATTGTCCTGTCGTCATGCATTTGAATGTGAATACGAAACAGTGCAATTAGTTTATGGATATTAGAATGTGTTGTCCTATTATTTCATGTTGAAATATTATAAACACCCACCACAAAACCTTGTAGTGTATAAAAATATTTGGTGTCTGGCTGGATATTTTTAAACTAGAGCAAAAAGCTCTATTTGCTGCTAAAATGTAATGTTTGCCTTATGAATATATAGAAAAAACTTATTTGGAGCAGCAAACCTGTTATTTAATACATATGAGAAATTGTAATCTCTTTCGTTATGTATGCAATTGCAATATTTAAATAAGTTGTTTAAATTTATAAATTTTAGAATTATGATGACATCTTCTTTCAGTTGCAATAATTTAAGTTGTTGCATTACCAAGGAATGTTTTCAGTTCGCATAATACAGTCAGCAATTGTTTGACAAAAATCAAATAAATCCAACAGGTTTATAAAGTAGTACACTAATAGACCCCAGCAGAAACAAGGTTCTTGAGAGAAGTGGGAAACATTCAAATTTAGTCGCTCTATAATGCAAATGGTCCATTAGGTATATACACCATAGGTGTTAAAGTGCCTATACGACTTAATTTTTTATTTGATATTTCAATAGAGTATAAAAAATTAGCTTATATATGATTTTACAGTTTTTCAATTATCCTTTTCGTTTGGAAGATATATGCCTTTAAACATAGCCATTTGCAGAAAAAGTCTGACAAACCTAGGGGCCTGGAACGAGCCACCTTGTGACGTCATTTAAGAAAGGGTGTCGAAGTCAAAACATTCTACGCAGGCTAAATTCCTAAAACATGTGTTGTGTCTTATGTAAATACTAGAAATACTTGCTGTTCAAAAGAGAAAAGTAAACTTAAAAATGTCAAAATCAGGTTCTAGCTCAAATTCACAGTCTGAAACTGAAGTTTTTGGAAATATTTATGAGGATTATGAGGGACAAGGAGAACTAGAAGTGGAAAACGATTTCCAACATGGCGGATCTGAGGCGGACACAAACAATATTAGTAACTTTACCAATGTTTACATGGACGAACCTCTCGCAGATGAGATCTGGTTAAATGAATATTTAAAAAACAAAGCAGAAGAAGAAAGGCAGATGGCAGAGTATCAGAAATGACTCGAGGGACTTACACCAATTAATTCATGGTAAGAATTTTAATAATTCTAGATTCTGTTCCGAAATATCACATACTCGAACCGACCTGACCGCGTAGCTCAGTTGGCAGAGCATTGCCATTGGGCTAGTATTCCAAAGGTCGTAGGTTCGATTCCCAGTGACCATGGTCAGGCATATTTTTCATGCTTGCCCGGTGTGGGTACACACTCAGAGTATTAAACATCACAAGCAGCATATTCACATGAGTACATTTTTTAATACACCAACACAGAAAAAAATCAATTTTAATAAATGTTATATTTTTAAATATTTTTTCAACATGAAATCTAAGCTAAAAACGTGCCAGCTGCCGGCAAAATAGTCACCTTTTGTATCTTTTATAATACTAGTCTAGGACCTGTATATGAGTTTGTATGCATTTCATTTAGGACAGATAATCTCAACAGTTTTTGGGCAAGTTGACCATGACGGTCAACATGGTAACGCTGTCCGAACCCCAATCCGGGGCGAAACATCCGAAACTGACAACACCCAAAAACAACGCTTTCGCCATACTGCTATCTACCAAACCATAAAAGCTTTTGCTGTTCTGAGGTGGTACTTTTGGGGGTGGTCACTGGTAAGTGTGAAATGCCTAGCACTAACATTTCACAAGAAAATCACCATGCAATAATCATAGTTAAACGTCAATTTGTGGCTTGCAACTTCAGATAAACAGCAGTGGACTTACATTACCTTTTTCCCTAAATCTTTTTGATAGAAACATAATTGGTACTTATTTAAATATATTATCACTGCTTTGGTGTAAAATAGTTAATATTTTCTGACCGAAATAATAATTTGAAATGTGCCTACCTCCTGCAAATGGACGTATTTGGCCAACTTCTCCACTTCACTCCGCTGTTTATCGGCAATTTCGTCCACATCCTTCCAAAAATGTAAATCATCTCAGACACAATGATATCAAGAACATTTTAAACAAGTTTTAACTTGGTTTCAAGTAGATCATAGCTGTTTAACCATCGACAATGTAAAACCTCAACTTTGTCCAAATTCGACGCCATTTTGTCATCCCGTGTCGGTTGTTAACATTTTGGCCTTGTTATTCTTCTGTCCGGGCCATTTTGATGCTATAATAGCAAGTTTAACCCTTTGTTAAGGGTATTAAAATTAAAAATGCAAATGAATAGGCGAAATGATCATTTTATCACCCCTGTAAGATGTTGCTCACAAGTCTTTCAAAACATTCAGTACAAATCTCGCATGCGCAAAGTGACAGGGGGTGAATGTTTTTTCGCGAAAAACTGAAGAAGGCTGCGTGTGACAATAGGGAACCCAAGCTGAATTAATTAACTTTAGTTGAATATATTGTTGTAGACTAAAAACTGAACTAAAAGTGAACGCTAATTCTAAAATACATCCTAAACTGCACTATTATTTACCGAATACTACTTTTCTAAACTAATAACGCATATTTTTCTACATTTTTTCTACAACACTACTAATCAATAATAATTTGATAATTTATATCTGGCTCCTACCATTCAGATAACACTCAGGGGCGGAGCCCGCCTTTTAATCTGATCGTAGCAATTTCCCTGGAACCGCCTGCGTGATCGAAAGCCACGCCCCGTTTAGGGGGGTACGGGGGCATGCCCCCGAAAATTTTTTGAAATTTAAACCCCAGAAATGCCGTTTTCTGAGTTCTGAGCAGCAGATTCTGTTCTAAAATTTGGCCTTAACCAGGCCAAACTTTAGACAAAAAGTAACAAACATACACACAACAACTAATAAATATTCAAACATACCATGTTCTTCGGTGAATAATGCAACATCAGAGGACAATCACCCAGGGCCGCAGAGAGGGGGCAGGGGGGTGCAAATTGCCCTGGGCCCCGAGGTGCTGGGGGCCCCTGAACATTTTTTGTTGGGCCCAAGTCGTGTTAAATATTTCCGTGCAAAGGACAAGGTTTTTGGGCTAATTACCGAATGTGGCATAAAAAATGAGATAAAGTGCCTGGAAAGCAATTGCAACGTACTCGTCCGGAAAAACTTTTTACCTAAAAAGTTGTCGGGGGGGGGGGGGAGGGAG